AAATCTTGGGTGGTCACTTAGTGGAAGGTTTTCAAGTTAGGTCAATAGACTCGATATGTTTTGTTTATCTATCTTCTAATTTGAACTTCATTCTATTCTTTCTTTGTTAAAGTAGAACTCTTCATGGAAAGGAATCTGAATTTGTCCTAGACTAGCTAGGGTTTTCTCTTCAAAGAAAGTTTTACTGCTTTAACTTGGGTGTAAATTGTTCATTGCTATCACTGTGAATCTATAATTACTCACGTTCTCTGAATTCAACCCATCTTCTCCGTACAATTAGTTTCTTTTGTTTTCATCCTTATTTGAAGTGCATATCATATGTTTTCTAGTCTGAGTCCAATTGGGGATTTTATATAAACCTTCTTCGATATTTCTCTAAATATGAATTATCGAAGTCAACTAATGCACTGAAGCTTACAAAAGAAAAACTCAAAATTAAAGTGAATGAACCGAAGTCTAATTCCCAGTAGTTGTGAATCAGTCTTTAGATCAATTATTGAAGTTTGACTTGTCTGTGTCATGTTTATGTTGCAAATATGTAATTGGGAGTAAGAAGTTGTGGTGGTTCTTATCACAGTCTCTTTTTGTGTAAATCTATTCAGAAATTATCCATTGTGCATCTTAGATGCAGTTCCTCATGTTTGTTGTTTGCTTCCTTCCCCGCAGTAGAAAAGTTGAGTGATTTTCCTAATTCAGGTTTCTTATTGTTAGAGCAATGACATTGATCTTTTAAACCTAGAGATGCTCAGCTCTTGTGATATATATAATTCTTAATATAAAAATAGACAAAGATTGAGTTTTAATGTAAAATATTTAATGAAAATATAATTGTTAACTTGTTATTATGCATACTTTAACCTATTCGGTGAGCTACTAAACAGCTTAAGTTTAACTACTGATTTAATGTGTTTTTCTTGCACTCTCTTATTGCATTTACGTTTACAACTTTATAGCTTTTAGAAATAGATTTGGGGTTCCATTTTTGAGTTCTCTAATTTATTAATCTTGTGCCTCTGTTTTTTAAACATGAATGGACATTTCTTTCATTATTTCACCATCATATGTTTCTACAGTTCTAAAAACTTTGAAGGTGAAAATGGCTACTCTTTGATTTGGCTGCTGGTCCAGATAACCTAGTTGAAAATGGCCTAAGCTCTTAAGCAAACATAATAGCTATTTGTTTTGTACTTTAATTTTTTGTTAACTAGTACTCTGTATTATGATTTCATTTAATCAGTTTGCTTTTTTTTTTTCCAATCCAAACCAAACCATGCATTTCTAATTTGATAAACCGAACTCCAAACTGAATCAAACCGAACTATTTCCAAACCGAACCGAAACCAAATCGGAATGTATTCGGTTTTGTTTGGTACATATTCCGGCAAATCGAATAAACCGAAACCGAACCGAAATCGAACAAAACCGAACAATAAACCGAAATGCCCACCCCTAGATTATACTATCGTATATCCTTCCCTTCTAGTATTTAAGTGAATAATACACGATGTATCCAACAAATGTCTATGTACACAGACGGTGTACAGATTAAAGTACAAATTGGGGTACCCAAGCACAGGACTCATGTATCCAAATTTGATAAATTTATCATAACCGAGGTGTAACTCAAATGTATCCTTCCCACTATCTTTTAGTACGAGTTTTCATTTCAAATTCATATATCCTTTTATAATTGTGCTCCCGATTTAATTTCATTTAACCAAGAACTGCTAAAAATGTGCATTTAAGCATTAAAATGAAAAATTATTAATCTAAACATCTAACATTTTTTTTGAAAGTAAACATCATCTAACATTTTGATAACAACATTTTTTAAAGCTCTAAATTTATTTTAAATATATCAAGTCAGCATCAATCTAGTCAATATCTACCATGTGCAATATGTAAACAAGGAAAATTACCAAATGCATATACATCTTGGCTTTTGGAAAACGGCTGATCTTGGCTGTTCAGATCAAGTTAGCTTCTTTGACTATTCAACCAACCAATATAATTGTTTGGTAATCGGATGCTTAGCTTGGCTGTTGGGACTCAAAAAGCTGAAAACCAAAACGCTGGAGGGGTTAGCGTTTGGATTCGGCTGGTCCTTGAAAACCCCTCCATACCCTTCTGAGGTGAATGTCCATTGTCGTCGTTTCCTCTTAGCAACGTCCCTGGTACAAATTTCCAACAAAGCTCTCGAATCCTTAATTTGTTGTTACACCCAATTTAATGAAACAAATAAAAAATTGGAAAAATGAAGAAGAGACTCCCATAGAAAAAAATGGGCTGCTACACGAGATCCCAAGGGACTGATGTAATCCGGATTTGCTTATGAGTTTTCGATCCATCGGAAATCAAATGATAAACAAGGAAGAAGCAAAAGAAGAAAACAGAGTACAAGAAACAAACTGATGAGAGCATCTCCAATGCTAAAATGTGCACGGTGCACATGTGGCATGTGTGATAACCACATAAATATTAGGAAATAAATTATCTCCCTCCTTATTTGAATGATTTTATACAATTTTGATAATTTTTTCCCAGCAATGTCAACTGCAATGTCAATATCTAGACGATCTCCTTGACATTGTGAAGAAAAACTTACTAAAACTGTATAAATTCATTCAAGTAAGGAGAGAAAGAATTTATTTACTAATATTTATGTGGCTATCTCTCATGCCACGTGTGCACCGTACACATTATAACATTGGAGATGCTCTGAAATCCTGATTTACTCTACATTCGTTTTTATTACGGAGTATCAATAACGTGCACGTTTTTTTTGGCAAAATTGTGTGCATATTTATTAATTTTAATTGTTTCTTTTTAAATTAAATTTAGCCTCTTAACTTTTTTTTTTTACTTTAAGGATGTTTTTACTTGGACGGTAATTTGTCCCAGACCAGATCAGACTAAACTTACGTAATTATAAAAATACAAAGAAATCAGACCAAACCAGATCAGACCAGCAAATTACAGTAAAAACATCCTAAATTGTGGGGAGGACTACTAGACATAAATTACTGATTTTGATCCATGAGAGCATGCAATAAAGAATTTATAAGCACTTTTGGTTTCTTTTTTCCGTCTCGGCCTTTGATTGAAGTAAAATGATTTATACGTACTTTAAGTAAATGTTGGTAATATTATTTTTATATGCAATAGCTAAAAAAAAATATAATACTTATATCCTTATATGTCTTTTTACATGTAAACAGCTATTCTCAAACAGCTAATTTACCAAACATTTGTAGACAAAAAGCTAACATAACCAGCCAACTAAAATAGCTGACACAACCAGCTATAGTCAACCAACTATCATAACCCGCTAACAGCTAACCGCCAACTGCTGATTGCCAAACAAGACCCTTATCATATACACGCTGTCGTCTGTGACTCTACGAGGATATTGTTTTTTTGACAAAATATACTCTCACAAATGACGATTATAAAATGTCTATAAATTTGAGTATGTATAAATAGTTTTTTTGTGTGTAAACAAATGCTTGCGAGTGCTGCACAACTGCTACTAAAATGTAAAAATTGGTTTTGCATAAAATTGTAGGGAATTTGACTTTGCACCCCACTTTTCGGGTGATATTGAACTTTGCACTCCATTTTCAAAAACTTTAACTTTGCACTCCAACATATACCATTTTGTGAAGAAAAAGTTCTAAATGAGATAGTCAAAGGAATTTTAAGTAGAATGAGATGCAATATCACCCAAAAAGTGGGATGCAAAATTGTAACTAGGCCAATGCTTTTAGAGAAAAATTGAATCTAGTATTTTTTCCTTAAGGATGTTTTTATTTGGACTATAATTTGTTGGTCTGGCCTGTTTAAGTATGGTCTGGTTTGGTCTGTATAAATCTGGTCTGGTCTGACCTGAACTGGTCTGGTCCGGTGTGATAAATGTCCGATCTCTGTGTATTTTATAACTACGGAAGTTAGACCTGATCTGGTTTTTTAAGTATGTTTTGGTCTAATCTGTTTAAGTTTGGTCTGATTTATTTAAGTATGGTCTGATGTAGTTTGGGACAAAAAATAGTCCAAGTAAAAACATACTCCCTCCGTCCCAGGGAGAAGTTCACACTTTCCTTTTTTGGTAGTCCCAACAAAAAGTTCCCATTTCCCTAAATTGAAAGTTATCCTACATTAAAACAGTGTCAAACAGTGCAAAACAGTGCCAAACAGTGTCAAACAGTGTCGAAACAGTGTCAAACAGTAAAATTTACCCCTCAGTAACTTTATTTCCTAAATATGTGTGAAAGTCAACACGGGAACTTCTCCCTGAGACGGAGGGAGTATATGGTTCGTTATTAGTAATAAACACGTGGAGTAAGTCCAACAACAATAGCGTTCGTTTTTAGTTTTTAATTAGCTACTAGTAATAAAATTCACCAAACACTTTTTCCATTTCTTGGTTTTTAGAATTATAATTATTTATAAAAAGGTAGTTAAGAGAAATATTCATAACGAAAAATTATGAATGTACTTATTTAAATGTGTAAATCGTGAATATGTTAACAGTTTTTACTCGGCATGTTTTTTGTTCAATACCACATGAAATGTGAACAGATCAAATATGAACAGTTACAAAATACATATAACCAAGTATTTATGAGATTTGATCAGATTTGAATAATTATAAAATACATAAAGATCAAAATTTACCAAACCTAATCAGATTAAATCACAAAATTTTAATCTAAAACATTTCACTTGATTTATGAAATGAAATCACGGGTAACTCAGTTGGTTCGATGGTGGGAAAATTCAGAGAATGACCAAGGTTCGAAATCTGCAGCGACCGTGTGGAGGTCATAGAACTTGAAATAAGGCTGAGTCTTTGGTGCGCACGAATAAAAGACCTACCACCATTACTCAGACTAACCTCCCCACCATCCTATCGGGTCGGGAGAGCTCGATGGGGTGAGAGATTCCACCTTCTAGAGAATGAAATGAAATGAAATTGATTGTGTAAATAATTAGTGGGGTACATTTTTTCTCCCATATACGACTAGGAGTCTAGGACTAAAGAGTATCAGAAAGTCACAATCTTGAACAGCTACAGTATACTTTCCTCTTTCTGACCCAACAGATTTTTCTTTCTTCACACTTCGTGCCAGAGACTTCACTCGAGAGAGAGGTGCTGACTGCTGAGCTCAAATTTCCCGGGATACTTCGCTTCACTTTTCTTCCTTCAGGTCAAGGGTAGTCGCTTTATATCTCAATATGAAGCATAGTTCAAGGCATCGACGTCAGGCAGAGGTGAACATCCTAATCCTCTCTTTATATATTGTGTATTTTTTCAATGATTCTTTTCCTTCCCCCAAAGAACTTGCTTTTAGTTTGCATTTCTTTGTTTCACCGATTGCAGAGAAGTTGGGCTGAAGTTTTGCGTTTCGGCAGTACTTGCATACAGCTTTTCTGGCCGCGCGTGGTGGTGCGGAAGCTGCTCAACATCAGCGGCAAAGGTTCTGATTATAGCGCCGATGCCGAATCGGATTCCGACGCCGATGCCGATCAAGGTTTGCTTATATTTTTTTTGAGCTCACTCGATTCCTAACCGATGGAGTGATTGGTCCCTGCTACACATTCAATCTGACTTAGTTTCAATTCTCTCTGGCTCTGTAGATGCCTGTAAGTTGCCAGGGGAGCCGCAGCTTAAGGATGCTAAAGAAGGCGATGTTGAAATTGATGGGAATGGTAAAAGCTCATGTCTACATTTTAAGATAATTTTTTCCCATAAAGCTTTTTGTTTTAATGTGTCCTTATTTAAGCAACCAAATGGTTGTGTTTACTGTGGTAGTCCTTTCTATATAATATTTCTCGAGCATTTATTATCAACTACTACCAGAATCTAGGTGCGTTCTGAATGGAAGAGAGCTTTTTCCCGTCCCATGACATATTTACTAATTAATACCTAGTAGAATGGATCATGTGGATCATGCTTCTTATTCTGTTATATTTGACTAGGAATTTATTTATATATTTTCCATGATCATTATTTTTCCTTTTTAAATAACTTGTAGTAAAGAAATTGAGTAAGTTGAATTTGGTATGGGAGTTTAATCTTAGCAAACCTTAGTCAAAGAAGAAAATGCAACGAGAAATGAAATCCCGCTATTGCCTACTGCAGTAATGCTGTTGTCATATATATATATATATATATATATATATATATATATATATATATATATATATACATACCTATTTGACATAAATATATATGTATTTGCAGTTTTGACAATTTACTTTATTTGTTACAAACTTACAATTTGTGAAGTAGTTTTCATAGCACTGCTTAATGTTGTTCTCGCCTTGTATCATTTTTCGTCTCTATTTTGCTTATTTCTTCTCTCATTTTGAAGTTTGTTTTGGATCTTAGAAACTGTTATCAGGATAAGAAGAAGAAAGTCTGAGACTTTTAGGGCACAATATATAAACAAAAAGGAAATTAGGTATGGATAACTTGGCATACAGGTTCCACTCTCTAAACATTATATTATTATATTAGTTAAGCTAGCCTTTGAATGTTAATCACTATGTTTCATGTTTGCCTTACTAGAGTATGCACTGGGACATGGAATGTAGGAGGAATAGTTCCTCCTGATGATCTAGATCTTGATGGTTGGTTAGATATTGACAAGCCTGCTGATATTTATGTGCTTGGGTAAACACCATCTTTATTGAGTGCTTCATTTTCTTGAAGTTTACATGTGAAGATATGCGATAATATCCTTTTGTGTTGCTTTTCAATTTCCTTGTTAATTTAGTAGTCGATAATGTTCAGCTTCTATTAAGTATAACATATACCCTGGATACACTAGGTTGTGAGTACATCATCTCAAACTGTTAATTCAATTCATATATTACTTTCTTACTCCCTTTCAATTTACTCTTTTCATTTCTGGACATCCCTAAACAATATTCCGATTTCAGTGTAAGAAAAGAATTGAATTTTATATTGATTCTTTCATTTGAAAATGAATTTTAATCACACAATTTCATTTGCTTAAACTCAACGCAAGGTCAAGCGGGTGAATTAAATTGAGAGGAGGGAGTACTTTTTATGGGGAGTGCTATATAATTGCTTTAACTTCAAACGGTTTATAATTACAGATTTCAGGAAGTCATACCATTAAATGCTGGTAATATATTTGGGGCTGAAGATAGCACCCCTATTCTAAAATGGGAGAACATTATTCGAGAAACTCTCAATAAAGCCCCCCCTGTGAAGAAGTTCAAATCTCGCAGTGACCCCCCTTCTCCATCAAGGTTTAATCCATCTGAAAGTTTTTCTGATATTGAAGAGGAAATTGCACCCAAGTTTGATAGTGATGGCGAGGAGGAATTTGTTCCTTTAGTTGAAGAATTTAATGACTTTGTTGATGCCAGTGACTTAACTATGTCAGGGTATGATCCTATTGTCAGTGCTGATGTAACTGGATCTAGTCGTATTTGTGAGGTTACCATGCCAGTCAGAGCAGGGGTTGAGAGAATATTTTCCATCTCAAAGAAGTTGGATAGGTTGGATAACTTAAAACTTGACGACTCTGAAGAAAACCTAGAAGAAAATAAATTTTATTATGACAAGAAGTTAACAGAAAGCCTTACTGGAGTACAGAAGATTGGCCTGAGTTGGCCAGAGCCACCGTTAAATTTTCTACCTCAATGTGCTTTTGAGAGACCTGTTTCCCATAAAGCTACAAAATCGCTTAGAGCTCTCATGTCTTTGGGAGTGTACAGTTCTCTCAAATCAAACACACATGGTCCAAATAGAATGCAACCTGATGTGGCTTTACTCGCAAAACTGGACCTCGAGTCTTTAATGAAGCAGAAAAGAAGGCCACCATATGTGAGGATAGTAAGCAAGCAACTAGTTGGTATTTTCTTAACTATTTGGGTCCATAGGAGTTTGCGGAAACACATACAGAATCTGAATGTTTCTACAGTTGGTGTAGGTGCAATGGGCTATATAGGTAACAAGGTTTGTTCTTTTTAGCTCTCAGATTTCTACTATGCATCATCATCATCATCATCATTACCTCAGTGCCGCAAAGGCTCCCACCTACGGTGGGGTAAGAGGAGGTCGGATGTACGCAGTCTTACCCTTGTACTAAAGCACAGAGAGGCTGTTTTTGGATATTTCTACTATGCATGTTCTATGTAATTTAATGTTGATTGCTTGTATCAAGTTTATCCTTTACTGCTGCATTGGTGTCACTAAGCAATTGCTCATTCAATGAGACACTGAATTAGCCAATGTTTTATAAGCGACATAGCCAATGTTTCAGTGTGTAACAGCAGCATTCCTTCTTATATGTTCAAGTATGATTCAGTAGTTATATAATCTAGATTTCATCATTAGATATGTGTGTGGTAATACTGAAAAAGATAGGTTTCACATTGAGGTAAACCCTACGAAGGTAAGAGTTTACCGGACTTTGTTGGTTCGGGCACGTTTGCCATCAAGAGGTTGGTGTATTAGTATAGAGAGTAGATTGCGGGAACACTGAAAATGTGAAAAGAAGTGCATCCGAAAACTACATGGATTTGATGGTGTAAATAGGGATTGAGAGTATTGGACAGTGTTTGACAAAATAGAGTGCAGGATGTGTATACTAGTGGATGACTCATGTGTGATATTCCTTGGATCATATAGCTGATCCAATTGGTGCAAAGTATGGACTGAATGGGAATTATGACGGTGTAAATATAGAATTGGGAGGTCACGCATTCTCAATCTGTAAAATAAAAAGCTGCTATTTTTTATTGAGTAGTGTGATCTGGAATGGTGTCTGTTACTCTGCTCAATTGCCACTTTTAAAACTTCATTTCCCCGAATATTTTTGGAATATCATAGATTCATAGGAAGATACCTATGACCTGTGACATCTCTGCAGAGAGTCGGAGTATCCAGTGAACTTATTTCTTACGTGTCTATACTTCCAGCAGGGGTTCATTGAATTTATGTTCAACCAACCAAACTTTGGATATGAATTTAGCTAATATCAGAAAGTTCACATTTCTATTCTCATACTTTGTTATGTATACTGGTTAACTGCTTGAAAATGTACAATTTTGGTGCATTACCCCTCAATGGCAGTGCTTAGTTCCCTAGTAAATATTTGAGGAATTAACCTAAATAAAACTAAAACATAGACAAAGTGAACATGTAGGACCACCATTGTTTTCTTCCTAAAATAGGACTCATTCACTCCTAATTGGGATAGTTTTATACTTTTGCTTAAATAGGAATAAAACATAAACAAAGTGAAGAAGTAGGACCACCATTGTTTTCTTCCTAAAATAGGACCCATTCACTCCTAATTAGGATAGTTTTATACTTTAATAGGATCAAGTAAGTCCTATTTTGGAAATAAAAATAGTTACTTCGATTTGTGCACTTTGTCTATGTTTTTGTCCTATTTATATATTATCTAAAATATGTCGGATATTTTAAAAAACTCACAATTTTCTCGCTCAAGCTGATAACTTTTCACTTATTATTATTCTTAAATTGCTGCTTGCAGTTCTTTCTTTAACATGCCAATTATTCTTTATTCCAGGGATCGATATCAGTTAGCATGTCTCTATACCAGACTCTCTTCTGCTTCATTTGTACTCACTTACCATCAGGTGATAAAGATGGGGATGCAGCTAAAAGATGTGCTGATGTGTATGAAATCCATCGAAGGGCACATTTCAATACATATTCTGGTGTTGGTCTTCCTAAAAGTATAAATGACCACGAGTAAGTATGTTGCACATCTATTTTGATGCTGCTCCATAAGTATATATCCATCCTTCTCTCATCTCTTTGTAAGTTTTTAAACTTTTGGATATTGTGTTACAGTAGCACAATATACTCCGCATTCCCTAAATGTTCAAGAAATGGTTCCCATGAGGACTGATCTGTATCTTCAAATATTGAAGTTAGAATGCTATTTTTCTCAACTTTACTTGAACAAAACAGAAGTATGAGAGTTAATGATAAAGTTAAATAAACCAGAGTAGCTAGAATGTAAAAATATTTATTGGAAGAACTTGGAAAAGCACAAAATCAAAAGACATCCTCGATTGATCTTGAATTTTCTACAGGATGTTTTGTTTCTGCTGCGTGAAATTTTGTTCTTATTATGTTATTTTTATCTTATATTGTAAAGTTAAAGAGATGCTTGTAAAGCTATATCAAAATTGCGAAATCCCTTTAATTTGATTAAATGAAAAACTGAAAGATATCCTTTGTGTCAACACTCGGAAATCTAGTTTTTGTTTTTGAGTTCACTTAGGTTGTTCGAGTTGTTCATTAATTGATGATTTGATGCAAGAATCAAATTTAACTAAACTGTCTTTTCTTTTTCCTCTAATTTCTTAAAAGTAGCATAAAGCTTATATTATTTCAGGAGAATAATCTGGCTGGGGGATTTAAATTATCGTATCAATTTATCATATGAGAAAACACTTGAGTTAATATCCAAAAAGGACTGGCCGAAGCTAATTGAGAGTGACCAGGTAAACATTCCTTATTCATTTAAGTGTACTAAAAATTCTACACATACATAAAAAGTTTTTTACCGAATTTTGGGTGGGCCATAAGTGTGCATCCATATGATTTATGGAATTTATGTCGCATCTTGGGATAAGAGAAGACAAGCTCTCCTATTTCATTTCTACCATGCAAGAACTCCTTGGTCATGTTCTATGATGTGCATGTTGATACATATCAATCTTTTAATGGGACATGACTGTAGCAAACTATCCCTACTCATCACGTCTCGATGATATTTTTTATACAAGTGGAAACTCTATGTCAATTATGTTGGGATTTCATTTCATTCATAAGTTCATAAGAAGGTCGGGCAACAAAGGCATTCAGTGTAAACAATTGGCAATGTTTATTTGCATACATTTATCATGCTAACTAACTTCAGATAATTAATGTGGTGACACTATAATTTTCATGCATTTGATCCCACATAGTTGGAATGATGATGACCATGTACTACCATTTCTTTTATCTATTATCCATTTCTTCCAAAACAAGTACCTGTTATTAAGTGCTATGATAATTTCTATATGCAAAGCCATGCAACTTAACAGGGTAATTTGTGAACACTTGATATAAAAGTTAGAAGGATTTGTTATTAAAAAATTAAATCTATAAAAAATTGTTTTAAAAATGCTATAAAAAAAACAAATCATCATCATTATTATTACCCCAGTTAAAATTGGATGACCCATAGTGAAAATCGCGCCCAAAACTGCATGGACTGACTGTTACTTCATAACAAAGAAGCGTTGTGAGCCATTTTGCTTTATTCCATCATTTTCTCAAGCCAAAAAAATAATGAGTCTTTGGCTCCATTGCAAATGATGGAAAACTAAAGCTATTCTTATTAGTTTGTGGAAGTAATAACATTTTTGAAATTACAAGACCTCAAAGTGCTTACAGTGCTTACATAACTCAACTGTCCATCTATTCAAGTTAACTTTCCTCATTTTTGTCTTTTGACAAGAAGATGGGCCATGGTGGGACCCTTTCTTGGACCCTCGCCTTGTGGGGATGCCAGTGCACCGGGCTGCCCTTATTTACAAGAAGACTGACCAAATAGTCTATTAAACGTTACTACTTCAGTTTTCAATATGGAACCTTCTTTTTTTAGATAGAGATAAAATATGTGAAAACGGCAGCAATGGTTTTTGCGGTATTGATTGATGCTATTTCAGCTAATCAGAGAGCTGAAGAAAGGACGTGCTTTCGACGGATGGTCTGAAGGTATTTTAAATTTTCCACCGACATACAAATATGAAATGAACTCTGACAAGTACCACGGAGAGGATCCAAAACCTGGGAGGCGTACTCCAGCATGGCAAGTATTTTTTATGTGTCAGAATTAGTAAATAAACACATATGTGTGTTCCTCATTGGCCTTGGGGTGGTAGTGCAGTTATTTTATAAAAACTGTTGCTTAATGATGATCAGGTGTGACCGTATTCTTTCATCTGGGAAGGGAATGCGCCTCCTGAGCTACAGGAGGTGCGAAATAAGACTGTCTGACCACAGGCCGGTGACAGCAACTTATGTGGTAGAGGTCGAAGTTTTCTCATCCAGGAAGTTGCAACGGGCCCTCACTTACACTGATGCAGAGCTTCAAAACGAGGAAGTAGTGATGGATGTTGGAATTGAGAACATAAGAGCTGATTGATATCATAAAAGGAATTATTGTCAGCATTCTTTATCCCAACTGTATTGGTTCTGACCTGAAGCAGTCTTGATTTGGTTTGGTGACTCATGGTGAGGAAGGGTGCTTTGTCATGGGAGAGCCGGAGAGGATGACTATAGGGAAAAGATATCAGAAACTTGAGGGACGACATGCTATAGATGGGTTAATACCGTATTTGCTATTATGGTATAGGTTTTCTCTTTGTTGTGCATTATTTTTCTGAGCTCGATCACAATACATAGTTTGATTCAACAATGGCATTACTTACTTACATAAATGTCCATCATGATCACCATCATACATTCTTACAAGCTTACCATAACAGAGAAGCTCTACAAATCCTTGTATTGCATACCATTGTGACAAAAGTCTTATATACATTCACACAAATTACAAGGCCTTCACACATTTGGCCAATTTCTGGACAATAACGAAGCATATAGACGGAAGTAGTAAGTAAAAGTTGTTTCTTCAACGCCAAGGCATCAGAACTTGAAGGATTACTTAATGCACCCCAAATTTGAAATTATCCTTTACTGTTTTTACTTTATTGAAGGTGAGCATTGACAACCTGATTAAGTTATTGCTGTGTGACTGAGAGGGCACAGATTCAAGTCGGTCTCTTATCAAAATTACAAGGGAAGACTTGCCCCCAATACACCCTTGTGGTGGGCAGGTTTCGCCCTTGCGGTGGGTGGGTTTCGAACCCTCGCCTTGTGGCCCTTGTGGGGACGTTAATGTGCTTGAGCACCGGGGCTGCCTTTTTTAGTTTTTATTTTAGAGAAATAGACTAAAATTATATTGGGCACACATGGTACAGCCTTGCAGCCTGCAGGGATGTCTGAATTTGTATTTATTATTATTATTATTATTATTATCATTTTTTGACATTCTTTAAGGAAATATAGAAATAAAAAAACAAGACCAACGAAAAGTTTAAAAACTAACATAACTCCCATCCTTCGTCCACCAGGGACTGACCTACATGCTACAAGCCTACAAACAAAATTATTGCTTGCATGATTTCTCTCGGACTTTACTAGCATTTAGGTCTCTAAAGATTTGTGCATTCTTAATTCTTACGCAAATAGTATAATGTGCTAATACAAGCTTAGTAAGGGGTGTTTGGATCTGATTCTTAAAACTGATTCTGCTCCTTCAAGGAGCAGAAGCAGAAGCAGAAGCTGGAGTGTCTGGGTGAAATTCCAGAAGCACTTCTGGTGCTCTAATTTACTCCCAGAATCACTTTTTTTAGAAGCTGGTAGATACCAGCTTCTGAAAACTGATTTAAAGCAGAAGCAGAATCAGTTCCAAACACCCCGTAAAAAGACTATCATTTGATCAAAGTGATAATACAAGTTTTTTTTTATTAAATGGAACTGCAACTCTTCACTCATTTTTAAGAATCCAGTTTTCATAATAAAAGCAATGGAAATATATTTAAGAACTGGTCTATATGACTATATCTAGCAATTACTCCCTTCGTCCATAAAATAGTTCCCGCATTGATTTGGATCGGAGTTTAAGAAAGTGGGAATAAAGTGAAAATGTATGATTGTGATTGAGTAAGAAAAAAGTAAATGAATGTGAGCCACACAAAACTTTCCAAAAAGGGAAATGAGAACTATTTTTTGGGACAACCCAAAAAGGAATCCGGGAACTATTTTGCGGGACGGAGGGAGTAGAATTTAGAACCATCTCTTCCCATATTTCAAAACAAATTCTTTCTGTCTTCTGGAGTAACTAATCCAAGATGCAGATGAGCTCTTCCATAAAAATTCTTTGAATTGCACAAATCCCCTAGTAGTTTATGGACACATGCATGCGCATTCTTGGCTTCTTGCACAATACTTAAAAGGAGAACAAACCTTATATTGGCAAGTAAAAAGGTTATGGATGGTTCTTGCTGAGTAATAATCATCTCACAACTTGTTTTATAAACAATAAATCATGGCTTCATGAGTTTTGTTCCCATTTATTCAATTGAATATATGTCCCTTCAACAATTGGGTGCTCGGGTATCGGCTTTACCAGAATACCCTCAATGGCTTACCACCCTCTTTGCACCATCCCGTCTCAGTGTCTCCTATGGTTAATAAGGACGAAACACCCCTTGTGTAGTCGTCTCCCTTCTATTCTTCTAACTCATGCTATTCCTTGGATTGTTTGTTAATCAAAACTCTTCCCGATCCACATGATTTTCGTTCAAGTAAGCCTATCGGAAATAACTCCATGCACATTATTATTTGCCCTTTTTGGACCTTTCATGTTGCCATTATGTGTTTGATTTTTGTAATTACTCCCTCCATCCCAGTTTAAGCCTCTCACTCGAATTTTATGGATGTCCCAACTAAAAGTTCCTATTCATATTAATCATCAAACATTAAAAATAATACACCTACATCAAAGTTATTTACTTATTGTCTAAATAACCTTGTCATTTTTCAACGAGAAGCTAAAACTGAAGAAAAAAAGGTAGTACTTTTATCTTTTGATAATTCTAAAGTTTTTTTTTCCGATGGATGAATGAAGAGAGCCATATATTGCCTAGTGCCTAACTTTGTGAATTTAAGGATAACATAAGATGGAAAGGCATATAGGAAGAAAAATAGGTCACTGAAGGTAAAATACTTTCATAATTAATTAGTTCACATGTACATGTTAGAAAATACGCACTCTCACACTCACACTCACACTCAAGATGGCCCAAAGCCAATACAATTTACAACAAACATATAAAAGAATTCCCGTGTAAGAGCTACTAGTACCCCTCAAGTAGGAGTGTGTGATGGTAAAGCACCCAACTCAAAAAGATAAAAATCAAATCTTTCCGTCTCAAATCCTTAGTCAAATACTCCGTAATACGCATGTTGAGCCCAAGCAGTATAATCACATCTACGAATAAATCGTGAAAGATTTTTTAGACTCAAAGTGATGACCTAGCTACTTTAATGTATTTTGTTCATTCATGATAGACAAAATTAGGAACAATGATCATTTAACTGAACTATTACAATCAAAGAATATATTTTGATGAAGACAAGGATGTAAAAACGAGGGTACCCCCCTTAGGCCTTAGCTACATGTATACGCAATCATAACGTGATACCCAGGCTTCTACCGATGAACTTCAACTATATATTTTTTCATTGTTGGAGGTATTAGTCCTACAAAAGGCCTCCCGTTCACTCATTATGTTAAAGCCGGCACCTTAAATTTAGTCCTCTCATTTTCTCTTGTGACTTTGTCTATTACCTAACTTAATTACTTGGACTGTTGTCTCACTTATTATCTGACCTATATATGGTTTTGCCTTTGTGTTCTCTCTGTTGCCTTCATGAGTTGGGCATTCTCTATCATATCTTTGAGTGTCACTTCCTTGCTTGATATGTCCCTATTATATCTTTGAGAGTTAGAACATCAGGCTCCATTCTTAGTGAGAGCTTGGAAAAGTGAGTGATGGCTAAACTTGGTGAGTGGTGGAGCGACTAAACTCTCAAATAGTGTGTGTGAGCCATTTAGATAAATTGAAGACTTGAGATGAAACATACACCCAACAATTATCTTCCAAAAATATATGAAGGTGGGACAAGCAACCTAGTTAGAGACTTAGAGTAACGCCACTCTCAAGCCAAAGTCACCCCGTGTCATCAAGAAGACCATGGTGTTCACTCAAGGGTCGAAACCCAAAAGGTCTAGTGTGTGGGATAATGTTAAAGCATTTTTTGCAGAAACTGGGAAACATATTTGTGGAATTACACTCCACTTCAAGTGTGAGAAAAAACATCAATTCACTCCTATGAAAGTATTTGGATAAATTAATCACTCTTTAAATTTAAAATTACATGCTAGTTACTCCATATCTCCTAGTATAACCACAATGTCTACATAGAAACTGTTATGCTAAGTAGATGAAATTTCTATGCCATGAACAAAAAATAGTTTAAACGAGCTTATAGAAAACCGTAGTAATTCAGTGATATTTGGTTGACATAATTTTCTAAAAAGGTTACAAATCGAACACATTTGTCATACTTGTGGGAGTTGTGGCCAAAAAGGGACTTTCATGGTCAACATGCTCTCCAGAATGAGTTAGAATGAAAATTAGGCATTTTCATATACACCTATTCATTCAGGTCATCATGTGTGGAAGAATACACACGGCTCATCCATCTTATGCAATACAGGCCTAAAATGCTCAAGGCAATGCCTCAAAGCTAAAATGTAGCTTACCTTTTCGAATGTCTCATCATTATCCAACTCAAGGTATAATGATTACTACCTCCGTCCCTTATTAAACTTCCAAATAGGTTTGGCACAGAGTTTAAGATAGTGGGTATTGTGTGGTGGAGAGTTGTGCAGAGGAGAGAGAAATCTGTAAGAATTGCTGTGAATCACAAATTCTGGTCAAAAAGGGAAAGTGGAAGTTTTAATTGGGACGGACGAAAAAGGAAAGTTGGAAGTTTATTTAGGGACGGAGGGAGTATTTATTTGATAAAAGTACTTTACTTTATCCAACTCAATCATCACAAGTGATCACTACACTGCAAAATCTTGTCTTGAAATAATCCATCAATGGTTTTGCTACCCATCTTGTCGACCTGTTCTTCCAGCTCCGGCATCATGTGCGATTTCTTCTTCTTACTCCCTATTTTTCCCAGCCCAATTCCCTTCACTCTTCTGCTCCAAGATTTTGGCTTTATGTCTTAACATGAAGCATAGTTCAAGGCATCGACGTCAAACCGAGGTAAACTTTCTGTTTGCTGACAATTTTATTATACTTCTTACGTTTCTTTCCATTTGTCCACAATCTTCCTTCTGCTTTGCATTTCCCTTGTTTCACCGAAGTGGAATTGCAGAGAAGTTGGGCTGAAATATTGTGTTTCGGTTGCACGTGCATACAGCTTTTCTGGCCGCGCGTGGTGGTCCGCAAGTTGCTCAACATCAGCGCCAAAGATTCCGATTACAGCGCCGATACCGAATCAGATTTCGACTCTGATATCGATCAAGGTTTGTTTATCTTTTCGTTCAATTCAGTCGACTCCTTATTGATGTAGAAGTTATCCTGCGTATAGTCAGTCTGACTTGGTATTTGGAATTCAAGCTGGCTTTGTGGATGCCTGTAAGTGGCCACCGGAGTCGCGGTTTAAAGATGTGGGAGGAGATGAAGTTCAAAGTGATGTGAACGGTAAAAGCTAATATGAACATCTTAAGATGAACTTTCTTCGTAAAGCTTTGTGATTTAACCTGTAGGTATTCAAGTATTGAACTGGCGTTTTTTACTTTTTTAAAAGGTAATCCTTTTATATTTGTTTTCTCAAGTAATTAGTACTCCATCCGTCCCTATATAAAAATCCTTCTTTTAATTGCATGCATATGAAGGAAAAAAGTTTTTACCTTTATCTTCCTGAAACGCCCAAGGGTAATTTTTACTATATCGGAAAAAAAATCCTTCTTTTAATTGCATGCATATGAAGGAAAAAAGTTTTTACCTTTATCTTCCTGAAACGCCCAAGGGTAATTTTTACTATATCGGAAACGCTATTTGTCACTGTTTAACATTATTTTGCACTGTGTTGCCATTATTGTTTAAAAGTAGTAGAGTAACTTGATTTAAATTTGTTTATCAAATAAGGAAAGATGACTTTATTTAGGGACAACCATAAAAGGAAAGTGAGAAGTTTATAGGGATGAAGGGCGTATCAATTACTGCCAAAACTTAGGTGCATTCCAAATGGAAAAGTTTCTTTTCCTGTCGCATGAAATATTTACTATTACTAGGGAATGGATCACTAGGGATCATGCATCTTGTTCTGGCTATGTTTGTCTAGTAACTTATTTATATACTCTTTTCATCGTCTTTTCCCTCTTCAAATTAGGCTTTGCGAAGTAACTGAATTCGTATTTGCGTTTAATGCTGGTTAGCATTAGTCAGCCAAGAAAATGCATAGAGAAATGAAGTTCACCCATTGCTTACAGCTGTAATGCCGTTTCTAGATCAATTTATGCATATCTTTTATGTTCAAGATTTTTTTATTTGAACTATGACTTTTATTCATTACAATTTTTGAAAATCGTTTCCATTGTACTACTAAGTGTGGTTATCCCCTTGAAGGCTTGAACCATTTTACATGTCTATTTTGTTTGTATGTTTTCTCACTTTGAAGTTCGTTTTGGATCTCAGATACTGTTGTCGGGATAAGAAGACGAAAGTCAGAGACATGTAGGGCACAATATATTAACACCAGGGAAATTAAGTAAGAATACTTCAGAATATAACTCATATAAAGATATATCCAAACATTACCATTATTACTTCGAATTGTAACCACTATGCTTCATTTTTGCTTTACTAGAGTATGTGCTGGTACGTGGAATGTAGGAGGCAAAGTTCCTCCAGATGATATAGATCTTGATGATTGGATTGATACTGACAATCCTTCTGATATTTATGTGCTTGGGTAAATGCCAACTTTTTTGAGCGTTTTTTTTTTCTTAAAGATTACATATGAAGATTTATGGGATATCATTTTGAGTTCATCTTCAATGACTTGTTGATTTATTTGATAATTACCTAGAGTATATTCCCTGGATACAGTAAGTTTTCAAAACATTATCTCATTTTGTTAATTTATGAGTGTTTTTTAATTTATACTGGATACTGCTTTTCAATTAATATCTACAGATTTCAGGAAATCATTCCATTGAATGCTGGTAATATATTCGGGGCTGAAGATAGCCGTCCTATTCCAAAATGGGAGAACATCATTCGAGAAACCCTCAATAAAATCCCACCCGTGAATAAGTTCAAGTCCCATAGTGACCCCCCTTCTCCATCAATGTTTAAGCCATCTGAAAGTTTTTCTGACATTGAAGAGGAAATTGCACCAGAGTTGGACAATGATGATGATGAGGAAAAGATTCCTTTAGTTGAAGAATGTAATGAGTTTGTTGAAGCCAGTGACTTAACTATAACAGGGAATGATGCAGTTGCAAGTGCTAATGTATCTGCATCCAGAGGTAGCAATGAGTCCACAGAAGCAGTCAGAGCTGGGGTTGAGCGGCTATTGTCATCTTCAAAGAGGCTGGATAGATTGAATTGCTTTAGACTTGAAGGCTCTGAAGAAAATTTAGAAGAAACTAGTATTCATCATGCCAAGAAATTAACCAAAACCCTTAGCGGAATACAAAAGATTGGCCTGAGTTGGCCAGAGCAGCAGCTAGATTTTCTACCTCACTTTGCTTTCGAGAGACCGGGTTCCTTTAAATCTATGAAATCACTTAAGGCGTCCATGTCTTTTGGAGAATATTGTTCTCTCTTATCAACCACACATGGTCAAAATAAAATGCAACCTGATGCATCTTTACTTGCAAAGCTGGACCTCAAATCTTTAATAAAGCGTAAAAGAAAGACACCATATATGAGGATAATTAGCAAGCAACTAGTTGGTATTTTCTTAACTATATGGGTCCGTAGGAGTTTGCGGAAACATATACAGAATTTGAGTGTTTCTACAGTTGGTGTAGGCGTAATGGGCTACATAGGCAACAAGGTTTGTTACTTTCCTAATTCTTTTCTTTCTTCTATGCATGTTCTATGTGACGTAGTGTGGTATCAAGTTTGTTTTATGCTGATGATTAGTTACTGAATCATTGAGGTTTTGCATAAATGTTTTGTCACAAAACATTTTGCTTCGTTGTTTCTTCTGTTTCACACTGTTAACATGATGCATGCATTAAGACACTGAATGGGCCAATTTTCTATAGCAAATTGTGAGAACAAATTTTGAATGACTGTTTTTAGTGAATGATTCACTAGTAAAATTTGTGAATGACTATTCCTAACACTCCCTCCGTCCCGAAATTAACTTCCTAGTTTGACCTTCACAGGTTGTTAGGTAGGAAAAAAAGTAAAAGTTGAATTTCCAGAATTATTCTTGATATAGTAAAGGGAGAGTAGTAGTCCAAATAAAGTAAAGGAGGCAAATGAATAGTAAAGTAGGGGGCAAATGGGTGCTTTTACAGCAAAAGCTTACCAAAATAAAGTAGGAAGTTAGTTTTGGGACAACCCAAACAGTAAAGGTGGAAGTTAATTTCGGGACGGAGGGTTCACCATTAGACTGACCTTATTTATAATAATCAATGAGAATGAAGAAGATGAATCTAACAGGAATGTGTAGCTCACGGTATGTGTGGGGTAATATAATAGTTGAAAAACAAAGTTCACACTGGGGAAATAAGGTAGGAGTAGCTGCTATTTGAATATAAAGTAAAGGTATAAAGGAGTTCAATGAATTTGTTAAATTAATCATGTTTGTCTATTTTCGTGAAGTATGTGTTATAGTATGGAAAGTAGATTTTTAGAACACTAGAAACGTAAAAAGTTGAGTGACACTGAAATTTTCATTATTTGAAGGTGTGAATAACTTCAGAGTATGGTCTTAATTAACACACAATTCTTGACAGAAGAGAGTGAAAAATTAGGATACTTCTGGATAACTCTACGAGATTATTCCTTGGATTATATAATTGACACCACTGGTTCGGTATCAGTGCTCTATATTGTTATTGTTGATGTATATAATCTTAATTCCACACAATTGAAAAGATGGTGCCAAACATTGGTTGGATGGGAAGTGCGGTAATGCATATATAGACTTGGGAGATTGAACATTATCAAGCTTCTATTTGTTTTGATAAATTAGGTCAGCGGTTGACATGGAAATATGTTTCTAAATTTAAACTTTTTTAGAAGTTCGTTTCCCTTATTCTTGGAATCTCCTAGAAAGACAGAATATGCCCGGTGACATCTCTGAGTTTCCGGTGAACCTATACTTCCCAGCAGGGGTTCAATGAGCTTATATAAGTTATATGCAACTTCACCGACTTGGTCCGTTCCTCTGGTCTACTGTGATGGATGATGGATCAACCATTTGAATTGATCATTTGATATGTTTGTGTATGTGTTTGGATTTCAATGTATCCCATATTAGAAAGATCACATCTCTATTCTCATGCTTTGATATGTGTTTTTGTATATCTGCATAAATATATATGGAGTACAATATTGGTACATTATCTTCTGAGTGACAATGCAGGGTTCTCTAGTAAATATTTCTAAAATATGCTTGATAGCTCCAGAAACTCATAAATTTCTGGTTTACCTTCATAAGTTTCCACTTATTATAAAGTGCTGCTTGCAATTCTTTAACATGCCAATTATTCTTTATTCCAGGGGTCAATATCAGTTAGCATGTCCATATACCAGACTCTCTTCTGTTTTGTATGTACTCACTTAACATCAGGTGACAAAGATGGGGATGCTGTCAAGAGACATGCTGATGTGAATGAAATTCACCGAAGGACACGTTTCAATAGATACTCTAGTGTTGGCCTTCCTAAAAGTATAAATGGCCATGAGTAAGTATATGAAACTTACTCCTAAGAGTATAAATGACTATGACTTGCAGAGCTATATTAAACTCCTCAAATCCTTGTAATTTGATCATAATGAGAATCTGCAAGATATCCTTTGTGTCAAAACCTTTTTTGGAAGTTCACTTATTTAATGAAAATGAAAAAATTAAAGTAAAATTTCATAGTTAACTGAACTGCCTGTCCGCTTTCCTCCAATTTCTTACAATTAACAATTAGCTTATATTGTGGCAGGAGAATAATCTGGATTGGGGATTTAAATTATCGTATTAATTTATCATATGAAAAGACACTCGAGCTGATATCCAAAAAAGACTGGCCTAAGTTAATTGAGAGTGATCAGGTAAATATGGATAGATTTCTTATTAATCAAATTTCCTGGAGCAGTAAGTAAACAGTTCCCGTAGATGTGTAGTCATACATGATTTATGTTCTGGCTTGAAGAATTTGAACTCTTTTTTTGCATCTTGGGATTAGAAGTGACAAACTCTCATTGGTCATGGTCCAGTTGTGCATGTTGATTTTACACAGTTAATCCATAAGGTCGGTCTTATGGAAGCAGAAAAACCAATGACCAAGACATATTGGAATTTTGATTCATTATTTCTTTATTAGAAGGTTCAAGGTTGCTGCAGGAATTTACATTAGCATCAAACATGTGTACTATGCTTTACTGTATGGGTTTTTAGTGTCAAGTGTCAACTTATTTTAGATAATTAATCCACACTATAGTTACCATGCAACCAACCCCCACCATGATTGGGTGATGCTGACCATCTACGAACTTCATCTTCTTTTTTAAGTTTCATGTCTAACAAGATAACTTATAAAGTACTACCTCCATCCCATTCTATGTATCCTACTTTGGTTTGACACAATTATTAATAAAGTGGTTGAAAAAGTAAAATTTATGGTTGATATTTGAGTATAATAAACTGAAATGTTGTAGACCACATATTTTGGGACAACCCAAAAAGAAAAGTAAGATGGCTAAAATGGGAGTAGAAGCTAAAGTTCTGTACATAATTGTTATATGCAAGGCCATCCAACCTAATGATGTTGTTAGGATGTTTTCTTTTGGACTGTTTTCAGTCCTAGACCAGATCAGACCAAACTTCCGTAGTTATAAAATACACATAGACCAAACCAGTTCAGACCAGATCAGACCAGATCAGACCAGATTAGAACAGACCAGCAAATTTCAGTTCAAAAGAAAACATCCTTAGTAATCAGTAAATATAAAATGAGGAAAAGGAATTCTTTAACTATATTAAAGAATTGAAACTCTTCAACCACAAAAAAAGAATTGAAAATCTTACCTTTGGTCCTTTGATGTTTTGCGTTACACATTGTGACGTCTATCTTTCAATCTATTAAATGGCCTCTGAATTGTATTTATGTAGTAGTTTGCAAACCCGCTGTCTCATGTCTTATAGCTGACACATGATAATTTGACTAATTTCCTCAATGAAGAGAATTTAGGAACCACATTCGCAAAAATAGATATCATATGCTAAAATGTGCAATTACGAATTATTATCCTTTAGAAAGAGTTAATCAGAAATCAGCTTTCTACTAGCAGGAAACTATAAATATATCTATTAACTACGCACTTAATATTCCTCATCTATTTTGATTACAAGTATAATACTTGTTTAGTTAATACGTCATGATAAATGTTTGACATTTCGTGGGATTCCAACTTCTTTTTTGTGAATTCAGTTCAGTCCACTTCCCTCATTTTTGTTTATTTATAAGAAGAAAACTGGCTAGTGTCATTATACTTTTACTGCTTCAGTTATCAGACTTATCACTTTGGGACTTCTTTTTAGAAAGGGGTCAAAAGATGTAAAACACAAAAGTATGGTCCTTGCTATTGTGATGAATATATGGATTGATACTCTTACAGCTGATTAGAGAGTTCAAGAAAGGACGTGCTTTTGATGGATGGTCTGAAGGTATTTTGAATTTTCCACCGACATACAAGTATGAAATAAACTCAGACAAGTACCACGGGGAGGACCCGAAACCCGGGAGGCGTACTCCAGCATGGCAAGTATCTCAGGCATTGGCTTTGGCCTTTGGGTTGTACAATGATTCCTTAAAAATTGCTACATGATGACATCTTGTTTGCTTTTAATAACTTTTATCAGGTGTGATCGTATTCTTTCATCGGGGAAGGGAATGCGCCTCCTGAGCTACAGGAGATCTGAGATAAGACTCTCCGACCACAGGCCGGTGGCAGCTACTTATATGGTAGAGGTCGAGGTATTCTCACCCAGGAAACTGCAGCAGGCCCTTGCTTACACTAATGCAGAAATTGAAAACAAGGAGGTAGTAACGTCGGATGTTGGAATTGTGAACAGAATGTGCCAATTGAACACAGAAGAGGTATTATTGTCTGTAATTCTGCATTTCTGCACCCCACCCCACCCCTTTATCTCGATTGTATTGGTTCTGATTTAATGCAATATAAATATAATATGACATTTTTTTGGTTGGTTGATGAAGGACGCTTTATTGTGGAAGCGCTAGAGAGGCGACCACTGTGGAAGAGGAAAATATATCAGAAACTGACGGACATCCCACTTTGTATAGATTAGTACTGCATTTTCTCTTAGGATATATGGTTGCTTTTTGTTTACATTTTCACAGTACAATAAATTTTCTCAGCTCGATCTTAATACTTTTTGTTTAAAAGAAACAACAATTCTAGTTGTGTATAGGGGTTCTCTTTGTTGTGTGTATCAGAGATACTCTCTTTCCTTGTCTCAATCCCATTTTTTTTTTGTTTAAATATGTCGGGTGATTCCAGTTGTGCAGCTTTTCCCTTTCCTGCGCTGCTTATATTATTGTTATATATTTTGGCTCGATTGCAATGCTTTATTTAAATTAATCCAACTTCTCACATGATGATCATATAGTTCATAAGCACATTAGCAATTACTCCGTATAGATTTTAAATGTCAAATTATGGCCTATTTGCTCTTTTAGTGAGGATGGATAGAACAATGCTGCAGAATTCATCAACACTAGACGCAAAAAACTATATGAATTCTGAGCTAACATAACCCTCCATCATCATCATCATCATCAATTCATCATCATTATCATCATATCATTACAGGCAAGTGCTACAAATCTTTGTATGGCAGACTACCGTATTAGGAACCTGTTTGTTTACCAAATCGCAAGCCCTTTGTTTTCATCATTTGGCCAAATTGTGAATGAAAACAAAACAAAAGGCATCCAAATTCATCTCTTGGAAATTGATACCTCAATCCGTCCTGTGAAGATGGTGAAATAACTACATCCTTTAAACCGGGCCCAGCCCTGGTTTGGCTTGCATATAGAGCATGTTGCGTCTGCAACTGCATCAGACATCAAAGCTAAGTCTTGGGTGTAGTTGCACTGCCGCAACATTATACTCCCTCCGTCCCAGGGAGAAGTTCCCGGGTTGACTTTCACACATATTTAGGAAATAAAGTTACTGAGGGGTAAATTTTACTGTTTGACACTGTTTCGACACTGTTTGGCACTGTTTCGACACTGTTTTGCAGTGTTTTGCACTGTTTGACATTGTTTTGATGTAGGATAACTTTCCATTTAGGGAAATGAGAACTTTTTGTTGGGACTACCAAAAAAGGAAAGTGGGAACTTCTCCCTGGGACGGAGGGAGTAATTTTTTTTAGATGAAATTTGTGAACAAGTATGTAATAAAAATTACAATGACTATATCATCAGATCAGACCAATACAGTGTAAGTTCGAACGTCATCATATCACTACTAAACCCAAATTAGAAAAGTGATCTTGGCGCGCCTCAAAAGATGTTATTGGTCCGGGGGTTTTCTTTTTAGACAACTCATATAATTAGTAAATTACCCGTACCAAACCTGATAGATCGGGTCACTCATGGTCTCTGAATTCTATAACTCAGCCCAGATCGGTAAAACCCCGAAACTATTACCTATTTACCTTTAATATAAAATCAATATAATGTTTTATTATATGATTAAACTAATCATGGTGGATGACAAAGTAAAAAGTGACTTAGTAACTTTAAATGAATACAACTATGTTCAATTTGTAAATCGTAGTGACCATTATTGAAGGAAAGAAATAATTTGCACTTAAAATAGAATAAATAGAATATTGTGTTTAGCCGTTACAATCTTTGTCATTTAGTGAGTATTATTATTTGCCTTATATACATGGTTAGGATGTGTATAAATAACAGCCTTGTAAACCAGTTTCATATACGTGAAATATATTAAAACCATTCATTCTCTCCTCTCTATTATGGTATCAGAGCCTCTGAGCTCTAACCAGCCCTCCTTCCCTCCTCTATGACAACCAACGACGATAGCCAGCCTGAGGTTCTCCTCAGGCAAGGAGACCTCTACAATATCCCTACCAGTACACCTATCACCTCTAATATCCCTCCCACCACAGTTTCAGCTCCTTTCACCCCAGTGGATTAATCCAGCTAAATCCCAGTCACTTCCCAGAAAAGCTAGATGGTTCGAATTACCTTGTATGGCGAGATCAGATTCTGGATCTTCTTTTTGGGTCTCACCTTGATCAGTATATATCAGATGATGCTGCCCCGCCACCGAAGACTGATGCCGATGACCATCTCCGATGGACTAGGCAAGACCGACTCATCCGACACGCCCTCATAGCTTTTCTGAGTTCGGGCTGTAAACCTCTCATTGGATCCTCTCGTACATCTGCAGCAGTTTGGAAGACTCTTGAAGAACTCTATGGGACTCGTTCGCCATCTCAAATCCGAAACATGAAGGATACCTTCCGCCACACCAAACAAGGCTCTGAACTGGTGGGGGTGTATCTCCATCACCTGCAAACGCTCGCCAATGAAATTGCTCAGGCCGGCCGCCCTGTAGACGGCGAAGATTTCGTCGTTAAAGCTTTGGAGGGACTCCGACCCGAGTTCGAATCTTTTGCGAACTCGATTCGTACATGTGGTGATAACAAGTTCAAGACCATCTATACTCTGCTCACAGGCTTTGAAGACTCCATGAAGTGGAAGGAAGATTTGGGCTCGTCCATTGCTGTAGTGACGACTAATAACGTAGCGACTGGAGAGCCCGTAGCACTTGCGGCTCGCAGAGGAAATCTAACCCGTCAATTTTGGGGCCAGGACCACCGGTCCGGTTTCAACAGCATCCCAGTCACACTAGTTATCCAAGCCGCAATTCTAATCGGAATCAACCCAGAAATCAGCGGCCCAATACTCATTACGGTCCCAACCGATGTGGAAATAATAACTTTGGGGGTCCTACTAGCAACCAGGCAGCTCACAACAGCTCGGGGAAGGGGAATAGTAATTTTGGGGGCAATGTTACATGTCAAATTCGTGGGAAACCGAATCATTCTGCTCTCAGCTGTTGGCATCGTTTTTTTACTCCAGGTTGTCTGGGGGGGGGGGGGCTGGAGTAATCAAGGCTGAAACTCACCTCATTGAGTTTCAAACCCTTATGTGCCTAACGGGTTTCGAACTCGAGACCTCTCACTAGGCACGGTAACCTCACAACCAGCTAGGCTGGAATGCTTGGTTACTGTTGGCATCAGTTTGAACAACAAACTTACCCCCCTCAAGTCAATACAGCTGTCACTCGGCACAATGGTTGGCTACTTGATTCTGGGGCAACCAATCATGTCACCAACAACCTGAATAATCATACCTTGGCATCTGATTATACTGGCAATGATTCTCTCGTCATTGGTAACAGTAAAGGTCTTGCGATAGCACAGGTTGGGCATATGACCCTTCACTCTCTTTCTCTACCTAATACCCTTTTTGTCCCTTCTATTCATACCAATTTAATTTCTGTCGTCAAATTATGTCGTGAAAATGACGTACTAATTGAATTTCATTCTTCCTTTTGTCTTGTTAAGGACCGGCGAACGGGAGCAATTTTGTTACGGAGTATGAATAAAGGAGACATTTACAGCTTGCCAGATGCCCCCCCTCCACCATCTCCATCTACTCACACCACACAAAAATATTCCCTTAATAATTGACATTATCGTTTAGGATATCCTGCCCTCCCTATCACTAAAAACATTCTGTCTTCCTTAGGTATTTCTTTTTCCGATGTTACTACAAATAATTCTCTATGTGTCTCATGTGCTAGTAATAAAAGCCATAAGCTGCCATTTGCAAAATCATCTCTTTCGAGCTTTGGGCCTCTCGATTTAATATATACAGATGTTTGGGGTCCCGCTCATATTAATTCTGTTGATGGCTTTCGTTACTATGTTATCTTTGTTGATCATTATGCCAAATATATTTGGTTTTATCCTATGACTCATAAAAGTGAGGTCACTCCACTCTTTCAACAATTTAAAAAGATTGTTGAAAACTTTTTTCAACGCACGATTAAAATAGTTTATTCTGACGGGGAAGGCGAATGCATAACCTTAGGGAAATTCCTAAGCACATGTGGTATTTCTCATTTATTTACGCCTCCCTACACTCCAGAACACAATGGCTTTGCTGAACGTCGACATCGTCACATTGTGGAAACTGGTATCACTCTACTTCACCATGCATCCATGTCTCTTAAATATTGGTCCTGTGCTTTTCTGACAGCAGTTTATCTCATTAATAGACAACCCGCCCTCTCTCTTAACTTCTTCACTCCATATGAAAAACTCTTCTAGCAAACTCCTAATTATTCTAAACTTGCTGTTTTTGGGTGCCAATGTTTCCCTTCGTTACGTCCGTATACCACTCATAAATTAGAACCACGCTCTAAACCGCGTGTTTTCCTGGGGTATTGTGACCAACAAAGTGCCTATCGATGTCTTGATCTTACCACCAACCGTATCTTTGTCAGCAGGCATGTTGTGTTTGACGAGTCAGTCCTCCCTTTCTCTACATCTTCACCACCCGTCTCAAATGTCACTTTTGAATTGAAGTTGATCAGTAGCTTCAACTGTAACACCCCCAAATTTATACCCGAAACACCTGCTAATTATAGCAAGTGTAGAAAGAATTTCCCAAAACATTTAAGTTTAAAATGGTTTCAACTGCAGCGGAAGCAAAATATTCAATGGGTGTTACCGCCACATTCGGCTATCTCTTAACCGAATGCACTGGCTAAACATAATCCAAAAATATTCCAAGTACTTAAAGATTTAAAACTCAAAACAATTTAAATGTCTACATGTCTCAAAACTAAGATAAATAATAACTAGGTGATTGTAACTACTAAACTACGTGATCTAACGCAGCTCTCATAAGATCAACAAGCATAATCCTCATCACCTGCACCAAATAAAGTGCAGAAAACAAAACAAAGACAAAGAAACAAAAGTTAGCTTTTTAGCTAAGTAAGACCTACCCAACCCCGTAAAATAATATAGTTTGAAGAAAATAGATTTGGTACTTAACATATAGGTTCAAAAGTCCATTTAGTTCTCAAAATACAACATTGAGGTTTAAAATCACATTCACCATTCAAAACAACCTTTGGGATTCAACCAAATAGTTTATAAATACTTATTCATACAGATTTCATATTCCAATAAATACTTGTCCACAATTAATTCTCCAAAACCGTTTACTCTTCAATTCAAAAATATTATCCAAACTACATGAATACTCGGGCTGTCTACCGGTCCTATCATTATGAACATGTTGTTCATAGATTACTCTACTCTAAAGATCATTATAAATTTGTAGTTCATAGATTACTCAACCTATCATTATGAACACATGGTTCATAGATTACTCCACCAATCATTATGAACATAAAGTTCATAGGTTACTCACATATCATTATGAACACATGGTTCATAGATTACTCCACCTATCATTATGAACACATGGTTCATAGATTACTCCACCAATCATTATGAACATAAAGTTCATAGGTTACTCACATATCATTATGAACACATTATTCATAGATTACTTCACTTATCATTATGAACACATGGTTCATAGATTACTTCACTTATCATTATGAACATCTAGTTCATAGGTTACTCAAATATCACTTAACTTCAAAATACTTTCTCAAAATATTTATTTCAGATCCAGGTCTCAAAATCATATGCCAGATATTTCCAATTCAAAATCAAAGTTCACAAATTAGGGTTTATCCAAAACTAGTTCCAAAATAGTATTTACTACCATATTCAAAATAATCCAATAAGGCTATGATATTTATATCTCCAGAATATATATGTAAATATTCATACCACATTATAAATTTAAAAATATAATTTATCTCAAAAAAATCTCCACAATTTTCCCAGTCAAAACAACAATTTCTCACAATTCACAATTTCGGCTATAGTAACTCGAATATTTAATTACTCAAAATCCAAACGTTCCAAAATTCACAGAAAATCATATCATACTCAAATAAATCCATCATAGCCTAATCACACATAACGATTCATAAAGAATCTCAAATCATAGCTCAAACCCTAATTAATACATAATAGGGGCAAAATAGTAGTTTTGGTTGCAATAGTCCTTACCTCGAGGCTAGCAACGAATCCTAAACATCAAACCTAGCTTGAGGAGTCACTCACACGTCCCTATGAATTTATAGGGTCGAAGGATCATAATTTAGGATAAAGAAATCCAGAAAACGGATGAACGATGCGAATTAGGCAACAAAAACACTTACCGGAAGGTTGGATTGTTTGATCTCGTCCTTGGAATCAAAATTGTGGACTCTACACAGAGTGGACTCTTTCTTTGTGGAATCAAAATTATCTCAAACACTTACCTTGATCTCCTACACAGAGTGGACTCTTTCTTTATCAACATAAATACATTATGGACTTATTGAAAATATTGAAAATGGGTGAGGCTAATCCTGTGGCTACGCCATTAGCTCCCTCTGCTTCATTAACTCTGTTTGACATTTCAGACTCCCGTGATGCCACTCTATATCACCAGGTCCTCGGGTCACTTCAATATTTGAATCTTACCCGCCCAGACGCTGCGTTTGCAATTAACAAACTGGCTCAATTCATGCATAAACCAACGATTAATCATTGGCAGCTTCTCAAACGTCTTTTTCACTATCTATAGGGCACTGCCTCTCATGGTCTCCTTCTTTGTCGCAGCACATCCCCCTCTCTCCGTGGCTTTGCTGATGCTAACTCGGCAAGGAATCCTGGTGACCGTCCCTCTACCAGCGCATATGCCATTTTTCTCGGGGAGTCCCTTATATCTTGGAAATCAGTCAAGCAGCGGACTATTGCTAAGTCTTTCACAGAAGCTGAATACCGAGCTCTTTCCACCGCTGCGGCGCTGCCTATGAAATTATTTGGATTGAATCTCTTCTGCGTGAGTTGCGGCATCCGCCCTTTTCTCCTCCACTCCTCCTTTGTGATAACAAATGTGCTATTACATCTTCAGCAAATCCTATCTTCCACTCTCGCATGAAACATGTGGCTATTGACTTTCATTTTGTTCGGCAGCGGGTTCAACGTGGACTTCTTCAAGTTCTTCATATCCCATCTTCTGATCTGATCAGATAGCTAATGCCCTCACCAAACTGCTTCCCCGACAACGCTTCATCATTCTTAGAGACAAGCTCAGAATTCTTGGCAGTGACGGAATATCTAGCTTGCGGGGGCATATTGAAGGAAAGAAATAATTTTCACTTAAAATAGAATAAATAGAATGTTGTGTTTAGCCATTACAATCTTTGTCATTTAGTGATTGTTATTATTTACCTTATATACATGGTTAGGATGTGTATAAATAGCAGCCTTGTAAACCAGTTTTATATACGTGAAATATATTAAAACCATTCATTCTCTCCTTTCTATTAACCATAATAATATAATCATAATAATTATTTTGAGGAATTTTTTTTAAAAACCCGGCCTCTATGATTTATTTATATGTATCTTAAACACAATATTAAGATAAATTGTTTTGTTTATTACTGTTTGTTATTTGTATTTCTGATTAATTTTGTTTGAGAATAGCTTTTAAAAAATAAAAGGACAGTGTGATGATTTCTTGGGTGATGATTTTCATTCGGGTTTTAACCGGCCGTACCAAAATTGGGCTACCAAAAACTAACTCGGATCAAATATTATATGCCTTGTTCTCATACCTAACTTTTCATGATCCGAAATCTTATGGATAATTGTTGAGTTCAGCAAAAACTTGATTGGCGGGACCGATCTCACTCCTAGCCAAGCAGGGGCGGACCGTAGTAGAGACCCAGGGGAGCAGTGGCCCCTCCAACAATTTTTTTTATAGTGTATATATATACCAAAAAATAACTTTCGTCCTCCCAATTTTTTTTTTTTAAGTTACCGCCTTCCCAAGATAAACTTCCTGGGTCCGCCCCTGTAGCCAAGTACTTATATACCTGCTCATTGGCAAAAATGACTAAAAACGCCTGCAAGAAACAATTTTTACACATTGCACAAATTCAGGGCCGGCTCTATAGATTAGGAGACCCGGTGCAAATCACGTAAAATAGGCTTTTTATTAAATAAATATAATATAAAAAGCAGTCTTTAAAAAATAACCCATAAGAGACTACAATCAAATGTGACATTGAGATATAATCATATTTCGAACGTGAACAACCAAAATCGGTAAAAAAAACTCAAACCGAAAAGAAATGAATTAAAATCATGAACTAAAAATATAGAGTATGATATTACTGAAAAAACTACTCCCTCCGTCCCTTAAAATCAAGCCCGTCCAAACTGTACGAGAAATTTGTGTTAATTACTATAACTAGGCCTTATCCAGGCCTTATGTAATAAAGAAGCTGCACATAATTAACAATTGCATTTTAATCACACAAAATATTAGTATTTAATGTTTTTATTTAAAAGCAAAATACTGAAATAGGAATCTTTAATCAAATAAAAAAGGATTTTGTATATTATGTAGACTATATTTAAAATTTTGGGTCTTCTGTATCGAGAGGCCTTGTGCGATAGCACTTCTTGCACGCTCTCATCTACGGCCCTGCACAAATTAATGTAAATGGTTACACGACGAACGAGTAAGGGTCTGTTTGCAACCGCTTCCACTTTTAAAAAAGTGTTTTTTTTAATGAAATGATGAGAAGTGATTAAATAAAAGTTGACAGTGTTTGAGAAAAAAGTGATTTTGAAAAGTAAAAGTGGGTAGTGTTTGGTAAAATAAGTGCTTTTTGTGTAATAGAAAAAGTAAAAGCACTTTTGATGCGGAAGCCGAGAAAAATAAAAGTTATAGTGTTTGGAAAAATAAGTGCCTTTTTAAAGCCAAAAGCTGAGAAATGCTTTTTTAAAAGGAGTTGCAAACCAATCGACAGGTTGAGTCGACAGGTTGAGTTACGAAAGCGGAGGAAATAGCATTGAAGAAATTCTCAAAGTCAAAGTCAAGGGCTTGAAGAGTTCGAGGAAGATGCCACTCTTACTAGTTACTACAAGCCGTGAACATGTGAATATGCTTTGCGTTATTGGAATTTGCACCGAAACGGCCGGGAGAAATATGCTCAGGTAATTCAACCTGTATGATAAGCATCAATTCGATACATGCGTCGAGTAGACGGGAAACAAATAAACAATGAAGGGCTGAGCACGGGATAAAGACATATCGACGATCCGCCCCTTCTGAACCGCCGCCTTAGAGCGTTCGAGGTGCCAGGACTTGGAAGATGACATTTCAAGAAAATTGACAGGAAATGATTTGGAGTATTTATCAGTTATTTTATTTTTTATGCCCTTATTTTCGCATTATGTTTGTTTACGTTGCTCTATTCTTCGTTGATGTCTTTAGCTTTAGGTCTACAATAATGATTGACAATTCGATTAGATATATTATGTCATTTGAAGGATCAATATGACCAGTGATTATTGTGTCACACTCATTTGGTGGTTAGCGAGTCGTATTACTCTTTCAAGGATGATCGTTTCTAAGTCCAGCCGCAGGGTTAATAATGCTAGATGGTTACAGATATATAGTTGTTGTCGGTGTTGGTCTCTTTGAGTTAGTTATAACGATCTCAATCCTAATGATATTAATCGTTCTCCAAACTAGTTCTCTTACATATTCGGGTCAAGCCATTGGTGGCGGGAAAATCCGGTAGTGGATTCTGACGGCTAGCGACAGAATGTTGACAGATGCATTCTGAAAATTTTGGCAGATTCTGGCGTCCAACAGCAGATCGTACAACAACGACAGATTAGACGGCGGCAGCGGCGGACGGTGGTAGTGGCCATGAGTCGACGGTAGTGGATGGGACCCGGGGGACTGGAAAGACTGCAATACTATATTGGCTAAAGGGTCAAATAGGTACATGAACTAACTTAAAGTGCTCAATTAGCCCCTTATATAGGAGGTTCTGTCCGGCCGTCACCAATTGGGGCGGTTCCCGGTGGAATTTTTTGATGAAATTTTTTGAGCATCTTCTTCATTAAGTCTAGTTTACCCATACCAAATTTCAGCTAAAAATTCAACCGGGAAGGCAGTCAAATGATTTTTTGAAGATAACTGTGCAGTTAAACAACGCAGTACATTTCGGAAAATCATTTGACTGTCTTCCCGATTTAAGTTTTAACTGAAATTTGATATGGGTAAACTAGACTTAATGAAGAAAATACTCAAAAAAATTCATCAAAAAATTCCACCAAAATATTTAAAAGAGTAGGGTCCGTATTATATATTTAAAAGAGTATAGTCCTATTTAAAACATTTCAGAGTAGGGTCCGTATTATATATTTTCTCTACTTTGAAGTCAAGAGAGTTTTACGAATACATCATATCCAAGAACATGGCTTCCAAATCGATATTGGTCTTCTTAATAATCATCACCTTCTTCATACTTCGGATCAAAGGGCAAAGCTCGAGAAGCTCACAAGCATGGATAAGAGCTGGTTACTGGGAGTCTCTGGGTCCCCTCCCTGTCCACGAGATAAACTCCCCTCTCTTCACTCATCTCTTCTACGGTTTCGCTTTCGTGAACCCAACCACCTACCAACTCTTCTTCAACTCCTCAAACAAGCAATCCTTCACCGACTTCACCGCCACCGTAAGGCGCAGAAACCCATCCATCATCACCATTCTCTCCGTCTGGTTCGCAAGAAACGAAGCCAAAGACTTTTGGTCAATGGTCAAAGACCCATCACACAGAAAATCCTTCATACAGTCTTCTGTAAAAACCGCCCGGCTTTACGGCTTCCACGGCCTCGACCTCCTCGGGGTCATGCCCCCCGCGGCGGATAACGGCAGCAGCGCCGCCGACATGGCGGCTTTCATGGACGAGTGGCGGGCCGAGGTAGTCTCGGAGGCCGCCGGGAAAGAACAGCTGTTGCTGACCATGCTGGCTCACCACAAGCCGGCGGTCAACGATTCATCCGGGAGTTACCCCGTTGACTCCATGAAGAGAAGCCTGGATTGGATAAGCATCCAAGCGTTTGACTATTACGTGCCGACAGTTGACCGGTTGACTGGCTTCCATGCAGCTCTATATGCCCCTAATAATAAGGGCAGTCGTCCTAATTCATCATTAAGAATGGCTAACACCGATAATGGTTTGAGGGCATGGCTTTCGGTAGGGTATAGTCCTGGGAAAATAGTGTTGGGGTTGCCCTACCATGGGTATATATGGACCCTTGACTCTAATGATAGTGATATCGGTTCACCGGCTTGGGGGTTGTCTTCGGCCGCTGATAGTTCGATGGGCTATAAATCCATTCTCTCCTTCGTTCAGAATTACGGGTATGGGGCTAAACCGGTGTATAATTCGAGTTATGTGGCCAACTCTTTCACACTGGGGGACACGTGGATCAACTTTGATGACGTGGATGCCGTTCAAACTAAGGTGTCCTATGCCAAGTCTAAGGGTCTCCTTGGTTATAACGCGTTTCAAATCGCCAACGATAATAATTGGGCTCTTTCTCAAGCCGCAGGTACTTCTATTCCACCACCGAGAATGCCTCTTATTTTTTCATCCGTTTGTCTCATACAATAAGAGCCCGTTTGGTAGCACCAAAATCGGCTGTTTTGGCTGATTCTGCTGAAATTTATGATATTCTGGCTGGAGTGGCTGTTTTGGCTGATTCTGCTGATTTAAGAAAAAAATATTTTAAAAATATATTTTATTAATAAATTAAAGAAAAAATTATATGTAAAAATAGCTAAAATGGTCCTCTACAGTAACTTCAGCCAATACAGCCAGAAAAGTAACTCCAACCTTACTTTTTCGGCTTATTACACAATTCAGCGCGCGAAAGTAAAAGTTACGTGTTTGGTGAAAAAGCTGGCTGATAAGCCTGATAAGCCGAAAACAGAGTTCTCCAAACGGGCTCTAAAATTTATCAATTTAAAATCAATCATATCATAGGACTTCATTTTTCCTAATTGCACACTTCCTCATGTTCTAGAAAAAGATGACATTCCATCCCCCAGGTTCCAACACCGAGCGGACAGTTTATTGGGAGGATATAATTTTTTTTAATTACAAGGTGATAGACAACGAATAAGAATTTGGTTCAAATGCTTGCAAATTCTATGCATTTTAACATAATAATCTTCCATCACAGTTATCGGGGTTTGAATCTGTGACTCACCCTTTGTGACACCTAGTGCTGTTATAGAAATCGAGCTTGGCTCGAACTCGACTCGACTCGGCTCGATTAAGCTCGAACTCGGCTCGTATATTCGAGAAAACGAGTCGAGCTCGAACTCACTTGTTTACTCGATAACGTTAACGAGCCGAGCTGGCTCGACTCGAAAAACTCGGTGAAGCTCGTGATAGGGCTCGTGAGGTGGGCAAAATTGTCATTTTATAGCATTAGAGTTCGAGTTGTCGAGCTCGAGCTCGAGTAGCTTGACTCGAGTATATTAACGAGTCGAGCTCGAGCTGTTAATACGCCTTAACGAGCCGAGTTCGAGCTCAAATATAGAATCGAATGTTAACGAGCCGAGCTCGAGCCAGGCTCGAAAAATGAACGAGCCGAGCTCGAATTTGTGATACTCGGGCTCGGCTCGGCTCGAATAACAGCACTAGTGACACCTCATATATATCAATTAAGTTACGTTCATTGATACGTTCTCGTGTTCCAATGTTAATGAGAAAAGAAAATAATAATTATTAAGAACGAACAGACACCTCATGATTCAAAAAATTCACCATTTTCACTTCCTCCCAATTTCATTGTCGAATCTCGATCATCATCAATTATTATCAAGTCTCTAATTCGAATTTTTGTTTTGTTTTATTTTCCGTTCCTTTTAATCTCACCTCAATTTCGTTTGTAATATTACACTTTCGAGGAAACACACATGATGACTCGCATTAGTCATTTAGTCAAGACCAAACAAGCAACTACTACGTACCATCGGTTGTTGTCAATTTTGTATGAATTATGTTCTTTGACAAATTCTAAATTTGCGGCAAATCAACTATTTCACCATTCCATTTAGGATTAGGAATAGGAATAAAGCTATTTTTACATTTTTTGTTTGTACACATTTATTGTACACATTCCCTAATTTCCTTTTGTACACAAGCAGCTCTTTCGAAGCTCCTGTATACACAAACAACTAGACAGTGTTGCAACAAAAGTGTACAAAAAAAGTGTACAAGTGGCATGACCCCTATACACATAGAAATACACGTAATGGGACTTTCTGTTTAAATATTTCTAATTTTCTATTAGAAAGAATTGTTTGATTGTCCATCTTTGAGATATTTTTGATATATATAGCTAGATAAAATATTTTCTAGATAATGAAAATAGAAGCAATTGGCAAGGTTTTTTTATAGAGATTTTCTAAAATTAGCAAGGATTTTGACAGTGATATGTCAAATCCGTGCCAAAAACAGTTTGACATAAGCTACTCGGCACGAAATTATCGATTAATCTGTGTCAAATTCGTGTCATTCCCGTAATTTTTTTTGTATTGCAAGAAGTGGGGATACACTTCTTGATAATGAAGCCTTTGGACAACCAATGAGGGATTGAGATAATAAAGATTACAAGTCATTTTCGAATATAGTTGAAGACAAAGATGGAAGACTCCGCGAAAGTCTTTTGGTAAACGAGTTGACTATTCAACGCAACAAATTCACTAAGTCTCGAAAATCATTTTGCGGTATCACCCACATATTAGATCAAATTAACCAGACTAAATCAGTGAAATTATTTTTGAAATAATATGAATTGAGCAACGGTACGAAAAAGTTTGGACTCATTTAAAAAAGACAATTTCAGAAAAATAAAAGTATTTGATGAAATAGATTGATATGAGCGAAATCGATAACTAAATTGACTTTTGGGTGATGAATGGTAATAATAAGTACTACCTCTGTCCCCCTAAGTTTGAGACAAGAGAATTTGACACGGTATTAATAAAAATGGGTTTATGTGGTTGATATTGAATTGATAAAGTAAGAACAAAGTACTCCGTATGAATGATTTAGAATCACACAAACTTTACCAAATAAGGTATGAGACAATCTTAGTGGGACAGACTAAAAAGGTAAAATGAGACAATCCTAACGGGACGGAAGGAACAGTATTTATAGTACGTATTGATGACCTACAGCTGATATGAGCGACACCAAGCGGCAGAGGAAGAAGAAACGGAAGTTATGGGTCATTGCTCCGGTTATACTTGCTGCAGTTATTCTCATGTGGACTATCTTTTGTTACGTCCAAAGGGAAATATTTGAACCCCAAGGTAACTACCCTCAATAAAAAGACACTTTGTCCTATTTAAGAATTGTATATATTGTTGCTCTTATTGGGAGGAATTTCTTAATTTATTAGGTGTAATTACTTCATCTAGATTGAAATTGACTTTGAGTTTTTTCTCTAGATTATTTGTGTTGACTATTTCCAATTTGTTTTCTGACCAAATCAGATTAGATTAGATTTGGATGAATTTAACTAAATAAAAGTAGACACAAACAAATCAAATTAGACCAACCCCAGATAATATATAGTAAAATGCACGCACAGAATGACAAAATTGGTACAGAGCAAACTTGGATAGACGGATTCGGAACCTCTGCCATACTTCAAAGTAAGGCACGGTGCCAGGCCCTCGGGAACCATCTGATCAAAAGATGGACGGTCGGAGATGTTGAAGCGCAGATCCCGAGGCCGCTCTTCCCCCATCCGACGGTCCTCTGCGCGCAAGGCACTCTGCCGTGCGGCAGAGGATCCAAATCCTGGATAGACTACTTCCAACCAGACAAAAATAAGGCATGATTCTTTTGGATCAGACCATTTTTTTTTTGTCAAGGAGGTTATTTTTAGAAAATGTTCGATATGAGACGAAATCATAGACAAAGTTGAAAAATATGACTAATTCCATCAAATAGAACTTATTTAATTTCATGAAAAGAATAAGTTAGATTAAACTTCCCAAAACGGGAGTAATGAGTCCTATTTTGAGAATAAGATAATAGTAATATTCTCTATTTATAAACTTTGTCTTTTTTTTAGAGAATATTCTCGGGAAAAATCTGTAGTCTTTCCTCGGCTGAATTGATTTAAATATAAATTGAACTAGATTATCTCTTGATTTTGGGTAACTAAAATGAGACGTAGCCAACTCTAGATTTGAATTATTAAACCTGTGTTTAAAAGATTTCTGAAAACAATTCTTTAAACAGATGCAATCCAATATATCCATGACTATTTTTGGTTGCGCATGCAGGACATTTGAGAAAAGTAAGATCTTGGATAACAAGAGCAAAAATCTCGCACGTAGGGGGATTGAATTCTTCTTCTCCTCCTAATCTGCAAATTTTCAGGTTTAGTAGCATCAAAGCTGCCACAAAAAACTTTGCAAGTGAAAACATGATTGGCCACGGTGGATATGGACCTGTCTACAAGGTAATTAAGTAGCACCGGCTGGCTGGCATCTCATTTTGTTATGAAATTAATTAAATAATAGTTTTTATGTGCTAACACTTCTATTATATTATAGTATTTGTTTTTTGTTACACATTAACATTCTTAACCTTAGGTGAGTTTCGACCATATAGCTCCCTCTGTGTGAGTGTCACAATGATGTCATCGAAGCATAAGGAGTTTAACGAAATAAATAACTATTGGTTTGCTTTTCTATCAAAGGAACCTATATTAAAATGTTAGTATCAAAGAGTACAACCGGATAGAACTATTAACCCTATACAAAAGCCAATTAGACATCAACTCTAAGATCTACAAAAGAGGTCAACTATCTTGTTGATTAAGGGTGTCAATCATTCAAATGCCAATTTAATCTAAAGAGGAGTAAATAAGTTTTAGATTTCTAAAATATGATTGTTATGTTTTTCTTTCCGAAATATGAGTTAGTACTGTCATGATTGAAAAATACTTTATATCATGATTGAAAATACTAGCATTAATGATAATATATAATGGCATGTTTAATGCCTAGTGGCTAGTACTGCAACTACTTGGCAGTAAATCGTGCTATGTTACTCCTATTTCAGGAAGAAAAACATAGTAGTATTATTTTGGAATTCCAAAGCCTGTTTATTCCGATTTCGGGAACTTTTCCAACAAATATTACTCTCCGTACCATAGTAGAGAAGTATTGTCTAAAAAATCTATAAACGAGCGGTACAAGTCACTAATCATACCAGCTTTTGGAATCTGGGCATGCAATATTAGCTAAGTTGGCGATGACACAATACCTGAAAATGCGTGTATCTAGAACACTCGAGAAACGACTAAGTATGAAATTGTAATCGAGTTGGGGCGGATCAAGTCCGCTTTGTCTCATCCGGTAGCACCCTGCAAGACCCGCAATGGCAATCATCGGGCTCGGCCTTGTTGGAGTAGCTCAATCCAGCATGGGATGAGCTTGCTAGTGCGGAGCTTGACTTATATATGATGAGAGCTTGGCTTGGCGTAAGGCCTTGGCCCGCAAGGCAAATGACTTCAACTGCTATCTTGGACCTTTTTGTCTGAGCCTTTGAGGTGAGGTTTATGAAAATATATTTTTGATGGTCCCAAGTGAGGTAAAAGTCTAGGGGGGTGAATAGACTTTTAAATATTTTCATTTTTCAACCCTTTTTCCTCTAACAGAATGAGTTCCAATATCTTTTGGGAGATATTGAAACCTGCAGCGGAAGTCTTGACCTCAAGAGTGTGACACTTTATAGTAACAAAGGTTATGACCCTTTTAGTTGTGAGGAGAGGGATAAAACATGGAGCAGATGTGTTTGCCAAAATCAGATGACTTAAGGAGCAGGATGCGAAAACATGAAGGAGCTGATTGCCAGATAACTGGGAGCTGGCTGACAAGTCGTTTAGGAGCAGGCTGCCGAAATGAGGCGACTACTTCAAAGGTTAAGATATAGCAATGAACTATACTCTAACACATTGATAGGCTTTTAGAACAGGTCTTACCAAATAAGCATGAAATATTTAGACCTATAGAAATAGATCACTTTGATGAACAGAAAAAAAGAGTTGATTCACAGTCAACTAGAGAGTTCACTGGACACAGATATATCCTGGTACAGAGGTAGTGTAATCCTCCTACATCTAGTCTCAACCTATTTTAGATGAATTTCCACTAAATGAATATCCCATTACATTTAGTGCTCAATCTATCTTTGGCCCAGGCATAGATTGTGAGGTTTTTCACAAGGAATTTGAACATCATTCTAAGCTACTCAGTCCTCCAAGGTTTTTCACTAATGGCATTGACTTGTCAAAAGCTACTCCTAGCTTTGCACTTCTCACCTTCTAGATTTGAACACAAAGCCCTCTAGAATGTCTAAACATTAGTCTAGTTTACATGGGTGAAAACTAAACTACCAACTAATCTAAGCTCTATAGGTTTGTATGGATTTGAGCTAGTCTAAGAGGATTAGATGAGTAGGGTGAGAACCAAAGTGGTGAAGGGGATTCAGATGACTGAATGTCTTCATGTGAATCTTGGTTCCCTTATATTTCACTTGACTCTTCCACTGTTTACTTTCCGCACTGCTTCTGTATTTATAGATTGATTGTTGAATCTCCACAGTTGGCTGAGGAGCTCAATCTTACCGTTTGCTTGATCTACTTGCATTGTTCCACTTGATTGTAGGAGAGCATGGCTTGCTCTTGTCTTCTTGTGACACAGACTGAATCCTCACACAACTTGTTTCCTCATCTCAAGGAAAAGATAAAGATTGATATATCTTTTATTTCTTTTGCTCATAGATATTTAGTATAAAAGCTGAGTGTTTGTTCAATGATTCCTTATAATAAAATTACTTGCTTTTTGTAAAATAAGTTTACAAGAAATTTTTATAATGTGGTAATTTTTATTATTATAAAATTGTCTTTTGTGAATTTGTTATTTTGACTGCAAGTTGATCTTCTGTTTAATTGATTTTGTGCTAAGAGAAGAGAAAGTCAATTTCGGTTGCCTTGCCTAGGAAACTGAGGTAGGAGCCAGCTGAAGTTTTTTCAGTAGGCTACACCTTATGTTTTTCAGATGACTGTCAAATCCTTCAAATGGTTTCAGTGAACTCTTTTTGTACCTGTTGGGTTAATGGCCCAAGTCAGGGTCCGGCCCATTCACCCTTTTTACCAGACGTACGTCCAGTTAGAGCACCAGGCTAGCCTAGCAGACCCATGTTCCTCCAGGAGGGACGAACGTCTGCAGTCGGGGGTTTAGGCTCAACGGCCCATCTCGACGAACGGCTATGCAGGGACAAGAAGCAGGACCACGGGTCACCCGGAATGACGACGAACGTCGTCAGAGCAAGCCCATAGTCATCGGAGGCAGCGCAGCCCGCATGGCGAGAATCCACAAAGGCCAGGGGACGAACGGCCAGTACCCCTGGGGGGCCATCTGGGGCAATCCAGCTCGCTCCCCAGGCGGACGAACGTCCCCACTAATCAGGCGGGAAACTTAGATTCTGGCGGGAAGTGCATTTAATGCTGAAGATTTGGTGGTTGGGACACCAGCGAACCACAGGCTTCCACGTCAGTGCAACCACCTGCCCATTGGCGGGTATAAATAGAAGCATTTATTTCATTGTAAAGGGTTGGCAACTTTCTACTCTCAGCATTCTAGCTATAGTATTCTTACTCGCAGCACTTCCACTGCCTTGTAAGACGAACGGCCGACGGAGCCTTAGCGAAAAGTATTGTATTAGGGAGTTATTAAGAGATAATAATACCTAATCACTTACTTGCTACCTTATTGTTCTCCTTGATCTTTATTACTTGCTAGTTGGGCTAGATACTCATACACACTCCACTCGAAATCCTTGGGCTTACGTGTTGGACCCGAGGGTTGAAGGAATAAACCTCAACAGTACCTTTTCTTTTTTATTCTTTTCTTTCTGTTTTTGGTACGTTTCTTCTCTTTTCAGTACTCTTTGTTTTTCTTGAGTACTTTATCACCAATAATAGGAGCACATTACAATTAACATTGTAGAACAAATACTAGAAAATCTAGTCTAACACAGGGGTAATAAAAAGGGGTGACATCATCAAAACAACATACATATTAATCATCAAAATCTAGGGGACCTAACATATTCCATCACTGATAAACCCTTTGTGTTATAACTAAGTAGGCATATATCACCCTAAAGAAAGAAATTTAAAATTTTTTAAAAATACTTTGTCATATTGTCAGGATTAAACATGCAAGTATATATCAAGATCTCTAAATTGCACAAAATACTAATCATTTTTTACTCGAGGGGGTTCAGGGTTAAGGAGAGTTTGGGATAAATAGGGCAGAAACTCCCTCCATGGAGTTTTGAACCCTTGACTCATGAAATCGAACACTAATTTCATGTAATTATTATTTAGTTTTCCTTTTTTGTGTTATTGTTTATTTAGGCACTTAACTAATCTTGATGTAAATGTTACATGTGTCTGACTAAGATAGGGTAAGTTACGAAAGGGGGAGGAAATAGCAGTGAAGAGACTCTCAAAGACCTCAAGTCAAGGGCTTGAAGAGTTCGAGAACGAGGTCACTCTTACTTCTAGCCTTCAACATGTGAATCTACTTCGAGTTATTGGAATTTGCACCGAGAGAGAGGAAAAAATGCTCATTTATGAGTTCATGCCTAACAAAAGTCTTGATTTCTACCTCTACGGTAAGCATCCAATTCATTCAGGTTTTGAGAAGGTACATATATGCCTTAAACATAGAACAAATAAATATGCTCTTATGTCAAATGTTTAAGGAGTGTGTATGTTCTGTGATTTAGAGTCAAGTAGTTATATATGTTCTTTAATATATAATTCAAGAGTATGTATATTCCAAATTTAAAATATTTGTATTTAATTGTCCAAATGTGACTATGTGAGTATATTAACACTCAGCACAAATACTATAATAGACCTGAAAATCCAGCAAAAAAGACTATCATACATAAAGTTACAAAAAATTCAATTGTATTTTTATAGTCACATTTAAAGTGCCACTGTTGATAATAAATTAGCCACAATTATGTGAATTTAAAACTACTCTTAATCATTGTAAAATTTAAAATTTGATGCAGCTGATCAAGCAAAGAAGGATTTGTTAGATTGGAGAAAACGTGTTTCAATAATTGAAGGTCTCGTGCAAGGGCTTCTATATCTCCACGAGTACTCAAATTTCACTATAATTCATCGCGATATTAAGGCAAGCAACATTTTACTAGATGAGGACATGAACCCTAAAATTTCTGATTTTGGCATGGCCAAATCTTTCAAAAAGGATGGTCTTGAAGCCTACACCGCCAGAATTGTTGGAACTTAGTAAGTGACCCTTCCCAAGTACTATCAAATGCTAGAATTCCATTTTGGAATTTCTTCACTCCAATTTCATTGTTGACCAAAAATGAGGGGTTTTATTTCTTGTTTTGACAAAAAAAATGAAGTTGGCTTGAAAGGATTCCCATCAATACAAAGTTGTGATGACGAGATTTATTCTTTCTATTCATATATATTCAATGGGAAGACAGTCAAATGATTTTTGGAAGTTAACTGCGCAGTTTATATACATATAAAACGCAGTTATCTTCCAAAAATCATTTGAGTGCCTTCCCGGTAGAATTTTTAGCTGAAATTTGGTATGGATAAACTAGACTTGATGAGTAACATGCTCAAAAATTTTCATCAAAAAATTCCACCGGGAAGGGCCTATGATGGCCGGACGGCGCCTCCCGTCCCTCCGGATGGACCTGATCTTTTCTGTATGTATGTATATATTTATTATTTATTTCATCCTTGTTGGATGTTTTATCAACTAAGATATTTAACATTGTTAATTCCATGCAGTGGCTATGTTCCTCCTGAATATGTGAAGAACGGAACATACTCTTTGAAGTATGACGTTTATAGTTTTGGAGTTGTGCTTCTCCAAATCATAAGTGGGAAGAGGACTTCTTGCTTTTATGGGTGCAATGAATTGAATCTTCTTGAATATGTAAGCAAGCAGCTTTAATTTGACTCATCCCTGCCCCAAATCATTCTTAATAACTTATTTATTGTTTCATTTTAAATTGTCCTATATTAAACGGGTATAATACCAATTAACTTATAAGACGTAGAGATTGATATTATAGCATGAAACTTCAAGTCCTAATATGCTATTAGAAGTTTAGAACATACCAAGTAATATAATGAAACACAGAGTCTTAACATTGCAATTTACAAATGCCAATATTAATATGCTAAGAAAAATGTATGAATATTGATTAATATTCCTCATAGTCTTAATATGCTGAAAATCCCCAGGCGTACGAACTGTGGAAGCAAGGGGAAGAGGCAAAATTTTTCGATGCATCGTTGGATGATTCGTGTTCGCAATGTAAGTTGTTCAGATGTATGCAAGTGGGACTGCTGTGTGTGCAGGAAGATGCAGGAGATAGGCCATCAATGGTGGAAGTTTTTGCACTTCTAAAGAATGAGAATGGTGTTGCAATATCTACTATACCCAAGAAGCCCGCCTTTTCAGTAACTTCAAGAGATGAAAGAAGCCAAGATGATGATAATGGCATTAATAATGAGAAAATATTTTCAGTCAATCTTACTACCATAACACAACTTGTACCTCGCTAAATTAGGGACACTTAAATAGTTCAATTCATGTATTGATTCGGATATAGAGTTTTGAAAGAGCATTGAAATTATATAGTTTTGTAACAAATGTGACGATTGGAGGTTGAGGCTATACTTTTACTGCTTTGGCCAGCTTCTTTCATTCTTTGAAAGTGTAAATTTAAGTGACTTTATCCATATTGTGGGGTAAATAAATTATTTTCATATTGATAGAGCCAGGGTAGGGCTGAGCATAATCCAATTTAGACCAAAAAAACTGAGTGATTGGTCCACGCCGGACCCGTATCGGTTGCATATTGGTTTGGTCTTCGGTCCAAGAATTTTATCAACTCTGATTCCGATTCAAAATCAGGAATATTCTAATCGCGACCTTGGATCAGAATTAAAATATTATGTGTGTGTGTGCATGCGCGTGCGGGCATGCATGAATGTATGTATATACATGTTGAAAATATAAAATTTCAATTAATAAGTGATAAAAATGCTTTAGGCATTAACACGTTATTTACATATTTATATTAGTAAAATTTTGTAAATCTATTGATACACTAATATCATCAAGAGAAGAGTAAAGTCAAGGGAAATACCCTGTAAGAATTCGCCAAGAAGAAGAAAGGGATAAATACCTATATATATGACTAAAACTCATTACAATTTCCAAAGTATGACCAAGTATGTTTATTTCCCAACATATGACTCTAATGAGATCAAAACAATTATATCCGTAAAACCAAGGAGAATTGAAAGACAAAATTGACCTTAAACATACGTTCACATAGTGCTTTTCAGAATAGGAAAGAATCAAAGCCATAAATGCATAATTAAAGATGGAGAGAAAGTAGGTGATCCCATATTTTTAGGAACAAAAATAATGAATAGTGGTTTAACAAAAAACTATACCCTCCCCAGTGGCGGAACCAGGACTCGTGACTCGCAGGGGCACAATAAAAAAGAAATCCTATACTACGTACTACTCTAAAAAAATCATATGCATCACGAATATAGGAATAAACAAAACTACGTCCTACTTAAAGAGTATCTTAATTTTGATTAGAACCTGACGTTTCAAATGAAAGATTCATTGAGAGGCGGCAATCTTTGTCTTTGAGGTGCCATACTCTGAAATTACTTCATAATGACTTCATTTTCAATTTTAACAAATACATCTTTCTTAATGTAACACATCAAGCAATATGTTAAGTTTTCTTCTCCCGTCTTGTTGCGTAAATCACCAACAATGTCATCATCGAACAATTCAACTTCTATTCGAGCATTTTTAACATTATTGTCATTGTTAGGAATGACATTATCTGATGAAGAAACTAAATTATTCTATGAAGAACCACCAATGCTTGGTTGTTGAGGTTCCGGTGTATAATATCGTAACATAATGATATTTTGTCAAACAACCTGGACCAATTACAATTGAAATAATATGAGTATTATTGTATAAGTTACATTATAAAAAATTAACAACATTAACTAAATCAATAAATACACAATTATAAATTTACAATATAATTAACATTTTAATGAGATTATCACTTATCAAAACATAATTGCCAAAAAATTCAACATTGTATTTGAATTCAACAAATAAAAGTTTTTAACAATTAACATTTTATTTGAATTAAACAAATACGTACAATTCAATAAGTAAAATTTATAAACAAAATTATCAGAAAAATAATTAGGTTAAGGCATTAAAAGGCTCATCAGGAGTCTAGTCGTGCAAGAGTCTAGAGACGCAGTCGCTAATCGTTATTCTAGTTCCTACTCATTGATGTAATTTGTTGGCGTTGTAGCTTGAACGCAGTAGCTTGAATCCTTGAACGCTGACTTGTTTTCAGTTTCTGTCATTATATTGTAGCTTGAACTTAGATACGCAGGTGCAGGGGCTTGACCGCTTGAGTTGGGATTTGGGGTCTTGGCGTTTTGGCTTTTAGGGAGTTGGGCTGCGGGCTGCCCCAGGGAAGGGTTTTTGGGATTGGGCTGACACAAGGGAAAGGGCTAAAGTAAAGGGCTTTTGGGATTGAGCTGCAGGGGCTCAACTAATTAAATATTAATATATATACATATTATAAAAAAGAAAAGAAAATCACTGCAGGGGCACGAGCACCTCCGGGCACTAGGCTAGTTCCGCCCCTGACCCTCCCTGCCAATTTAAACGGAGTGCACCCCATAAACAAAAGAGGGAATAGAAAGAGCTAGCACATACTTGATGAGAAGTAACAATACGACGAAAAAATTTCTTTTTCCTCCTGCTCATGCTTTGAGTGCAGTGATTTTTAATGATGGCATTACTATATTGCACTAATAAACCGCACTAAATAGTGTGGTACTTCATATTTAACTTATATTTTGTGGTTCCTTAAAAAAAACTTATATTTTGTGGTTTGTGTAGTGCAATTATTAATTAACTTATAAAACACATGCAGTAGATCAGTTTTATTACATTTTTATGATTAAGAAGATTGGGGGTGTGTAATCCATGCATTACATTGCCCTAAATGAACCAATTCATTGCACTAAATGAAAAAATTCATCTTTATTACATAAATTTTACATAAACTATCACTAATATATTCGAATTGACTGCATTATAGACCGTGCATTATATAAACTATCACTAATACATTCATGCATTAAATGAACTAATTCATTGCACTCAATGAAAAAATTAGTCTTTTGTCCAAAATTTTAGAAGAGAAAGAATGATGGATGGGTAGCTTAATTAAAATTAAAATTAGAAGAGAAAGAATGGAACGTGTAGATTCAAAAAAAAAAAAAGAATGGAACGTGCATGTGGCATGAGTATAATTAGAATATTAGGTTACCTAGTTTAGTGGGATCTTGAACGTAAAATAATTATGGTAGCAATTTAATATGCATAAAATAAGGAGCTATTAGTTCTTTAATATGTTTACGTATTGTACAAGGGCAACTATGGAATGAAAAAAAAAGGACGGATGATATGGATATCATGTCATGTACCATCCATCATATTAGGAAAAAAACATACAAGTCATATAATGAGAAAGATGATGACTTTTAGTAATATATAGAGGGTACATTTCTCAAGAAAAATGGTGGCTCCAAATTATATCCATAGGTACATCGATCCGTACATAATCAAGTAGCAATTGCGTACAAAAATATCAAGAGGACTGATGTGGAATCCATAGAAAATAAGAAATGTTCAACTAAGAGATTGAATAGATTCAACGGCTAATACTCCATGAATCTCATCATCATTTTCATTTCTCCCAACGCCGCAAAGGCTTTCACCGACGGTGAGGTAAGAGGGTCGGATGTACGTAGTCTTACTCTTGTAGGCTTGTACTAAAGCATAGAGAGACCGTTTTTGAATGACCCACGGTGAAAATCGCGTCCAAAATTGCATGGAATGACTGCTGCTTCATTACAAAGAAACACAGACAGTTTAGTGAGTCATTTTACTTTATTCCATCATACTCCATGAATCTCATAGAAGAAAAACATAATATCGTTTTGATGAACCTCCTACATGACAAGAAATACTGTTTCTTTTTAAAAATCATTAATACGGAGTAATAATTCATTTTTAAAGTCATTTTCTAAACAGACACTTTATTCAACCTGAACTCTTTGTGAGATGATAAAAATATTGGACAACTTTATTTTATTTTGCAAATAAGCACGGATGACTTCTATTTTCAAATTATAAACATTATCAATCAACTTTTTATCAAACACATGAGATTTGATTTCATGAATGGTAAAGTAATCAAAATAAGTAAACTTAAAATTACTTTTCTTACTGAATCAGATGATGTTACTATAAGAGACCATTTTAGCGATTCTCATTTAGTTTTTTCTTTAATTCATTAATGTAATAATTCGTATGTTTTAAATACGATTTCTCAATTTAGTAGACTCGGTTAATTCAACAGCTTCAACCAACATTTTATCAAATACTTCGAAATATATGCAAGGACCGATGGGCGTAGCTCAACTGGTAGCGAGGGAGTGCCACAAGGGTTAGGTCTCGGGTTCGAATCCCGACAACTGTGATGAGGGATTCTGCAAGTATCGGGGACAGAACCTCACTATCTATCTGTCAGATTGTGATTATAGTCCAATTTACATCCTCTCATCGTGCCGTCCGGTCGGTGTTGGAAGCCCTCAGGGATGGGGTGTCATCCTTTTTTTTTCCGAAATATATGCAAGGCATATCATACCGAATTGCTTTAATTACGTTTATCACAATAGTATACCCAAAAAAGTGGGGGATATGTAACTACAAATTCAAAATCAATTATATAATTTCCGAGTGCCTATATCTAAGCAAATAAAGTCGTATCACAATTCACAAATCACAATATATGGTCGAGGTTATCAAATAAACCAAACCAGCCTTATCGTACGAGAGTATATTGTGTCAAAAGAAAGCTATGTAAAAATAAAAAATATCTGCTACTACGTATAATATTGCTACAAACAAAGAAAGACAATCACAATATAGCATATGACCCTACCTTGTATTAAGCAATGTACAGACTACAATCTTTTTTAAGTGAAGATCAAATCAGGTTTCCTTAGCCAATATTGATGAAACCTTTGCCTAGCATATTCCTTGTAATCAAAGTCAATATTGTTCACATACCCCTGCAAACCAAAAAAACTCATCAAGGGCGGTTGATAGCCCCACATGTTTAAAATATAAATTTGACTATAATAAAATGAGAGATGAAATTATGGAAAACACAGGCAGACCGAGATAATTCCCCATAGCCCCCAGAACAAATGATTAGGAAGAGTGTATCTTTCTGCATCATCAACTAGCTGTTTCACATCAGAGTTGATGCTTCCTTGGTAGCAGCCTGCATTTTTCAGTTCACTAAGCTAACTATATAAGGTATAATATCTGCATTTGTATATGCATATCCATGTGTGTATACTGACTTACATACACACATACAAATGTCTATACGCATATGTATACATATATGTGATACATATATCTGCACACAAGTTGGAGTAATATGATTCACCCGACCCACCCGAAATTTTGTATATCTGCATTTTTTAGGTGGTCATGCTAAGCCCGACCCACCCGAAATTTCGTGTAAATATTTATCCAAAATGATTCTTTGTACTTGGCAAGTCCAACTTATACTCTGTCCACGCCACTGAGTGAACGTACACATATACATATA